AAGTGCACTCTGAGCGCCAGGCCAGGTTGGAAATTTTCCCACACTCTGGCGGCGGCACTGGCGGCTCTGGCGGACGTGTCTGAACTTTGATTAAACCGAATTGGTTTCCATTGCCGCGGATCCCAGGCTGTTTCTCGGGTAATAAATGTGTAACATTCTGTAATAGCCAACGTGCCACATGGAGCCATACACGCCGCCTCCTTCATGTCTCTGAGTCATGGCTGATTAGTCAGCTGCGTGCTGCGAGAACTCGCAGCAAGAATTTCTGGACAAGTGAACGGCCCATTGCAAGAGAGTTTTCCAAGCAGCCAGCATTTTCAGTTCCCGCCAGTTCGCGCTTAATGAGTGTCACTTGCAGCGCTCCAAGCCGCAGGCCTGTGCACGGTGCACCTGTTTCCGTTGCATAATTTTCCAGAGCAAACACCAGAAATACATACATACATATGTGTGTGTTCCTTTATGGGTCTGCCATAATATTTACATGCACCCAAGCGAGGCACATTCCAGGCGCTGCTTCTAATGGAGTTGTGAGGGAGTGTGGCAGGTGTCTGCCCTTTCTGGGCCAAGTGGCAACCTAAGATCCTTACCTTCTAATGAGGCAAAGGTAAGATATACGCTGCTAATGATATCGGCGAATAGTTCTGAAATTAGTTTCTTATTTATTGTTCTACTTGGGTGAAAGGTGCAGGAAGTGAGCTCCAATCGGTAGAAAGTATTAGTATTTTTATAGCTATCTAAATTATTGTTTGTTTAATAAATTGCAGCAAAACTTGCTCAAGTTGTGCTTCAAGTTGAATGAAGAATTCTTGTGCGGTTGATTTAATAAATAATTCGTTGTTTTTACATTCTTTGAACAATTTTAATGGTTAGCAACTTATTTTGCTGAGCATTAATATATGTAACTAAAGAACTAACCTCTGAAAAAAGTACCCAAAAATGCTTAATTCATTTTTTTTTTAATTTCAAACTTGAAGAATTTGGAAAATGGTAGAAAAATTCCATGTTGGGTAGCTTTATCTTCATTCTAGCGACACGAATTAAATATCCTGTTAAAGGTCAAACAATTCTCTATTTAAACAATTATATTTGTGGAAAAGTTAGAATTAAAAACAAAATATTTTGTGGATATATTGAAAATTACAACCTTTATTCATATCTCGCTCAAAAGGTTATTTTTTCGCTCTGTTTTAATTTCTCTCCAGATAAATTTGTGGATCTATTTATATTTTCTACTTTGAATGGGGATTACACCTCCATCTTTGCTGCCACAGTTCGTAGGGTATATTTTCTATTATCTCTATGGGTTTATAGCTGTCAATCAGTGCCTCGATCTGCATTCACAGCCTTGGCAAATATAATTACAATTGTTTGCCTTTCTTTCCATAAATCTTGCTACTTTATCAGACGAACCTCTCGGGCCTATGGCCTAGGGCCAAGGGGCCTCATTCTGAGAAGTACATCACTGACGCGTATACCTCGTGATTTGTTTTTTTTTTGCACTGCTAACCATCCGCAACTAATGCAGGAGGAGAAAGAGCAGAGCAGCCCAAAGGAGGAGAGACCTGAGAATGAGAAATTTCAACTGGAACGGGAGGAGAGCGAGCGGCGTGTGCGGTTGCCCAGGCTGTTTATTGTGTTGTTCCGAGCCTTTGGTCCAAGCTGTGGAAATCATAAAAGATCATAAATAAATAGCACAGAAGATTTACATTTGCCTGGGACCAGCCAACAGCGACCAGGGAGCAGCAGACTCTGAGGGTCGGTCACACTTTAATTACTGGAGATAAAGCGACTCTAAGCGGATCTCGGGCTGGGAAACGCACACAGAGAGAGAGAGAGGAGACCGTTCAGAACGTAGTCCGGCCAGTCGACTGAGTGATTCATGCTGATCTACGTCTCTCCGTCTCTCCGTCTCTTTCCGTGTGTATGTATATACGATGCTTCGTCTCTCTCTATCGCTGGGTAATTGATACCCGAGGTGTTGATTTGGAAAACAAAAAAAAACTGTTTGCTTATAAACAAAAGGCCTTGTTATGTGCTGAAGCAGCAACAGCAACAGCAGCAGCAACAGCAACAACTGAATTTTCGGGAATTTAGATAAGAAACAGAAAAACGAAAAGTGTTTTCATCTGAAACTGGGAACTGGGGCTCAGATAAGACTCGGACACACCCATTGGCATTACCAAGAGATCCCTGAACTGAGCCCCCCCGCCACCTAGATGCAAATCAATGAACCATTAGAAACTCTTTTTCTTCCCCATCTCATCTGCCCTGACAGGCTGACTGCCCTGACAGCCTGACTGCCCTGACAGCCTGATTGTGGGTCTTCAGCCTCAGCCTCAGCCTCAGCCACAACTTCAACGGCCGCTTGATAAGCGAAACGGTGACTTATCAGTGGATGTGATATGGCCACAAATATTTGATCTGCAGCTTGTTTTGATTTCTTGTACAAATGTTTAAATGTTTATGCAAGATTAATGGTCAGGCGCACGCCTTCCTTTTCCATCCGAGGAGGAGTAGGAGGAGGAGGAGGAGAAGGGCCACCGAAATTTAATTTCATATACAAACGTACATCAGCGCCGACTTTTCTCTGATCTTGAACTATTAATTAGGCAAATTTATGTTTGATTGCTGGCTGCGTAAGACAACGGATGTGAACACTGATCTGGGAATGTTTTGGTGGATGGGAAATAGTTCAGCTTTGTCTGGGAATATTTCACTCTTATGTAGAGGAAAATATCAGCGCTGATCAATGATTTGTTTCAGATTATGGCAAAGGCTCTTGCCAGTTTTTAATGTAAAGGAAAGCAATGTTATATATAAAACGATTTTATGCACATCAAAGCGAACACTCAAGCGATTAATCCTTAATACCAAAATGGAAAATCTTCAAAAAACTATTGGCGTATTTAGGAAAATTCCTCATAAAACCAACAAAAAAAAAACTGTGCAAAAAGGAATCAAAAATGTACTTTGGATACATGAAATACAAGTCCGGAAATCTGCACACAGCATCTGACATATTTTCAAACACAAAATGCCACGGCCCATGGCAGGATCCTCTTCTGCCATGAGACCGAGATCCTCTTTTGTGTGACACCTTTGGAAAAACTGTCAATAAGCGTCATTGTTCGATGCCAGCCGAATGCAGCTGCTGCGAATCATTCGCTAGGGCAGAGAACAATAGACGAGGACTGCACAGGATCTGGCAGAAATGTGTTACAGCCAAAGGACAACTTATTGGCCAGAGGGAAACGAGAGAGAGAGAGAGAGAGAGAGAGAGCATCTGCATCTGTCATGGCCGACATGTGCCAGCAAGATGCTAAAGAATTGTTTTGGCGGTTAAAACCAAAAGAATAACAGTTACTTATGTTGGGTCAGGAGAAGGAGGTGGAGGTGGAGGGACAAGCACACAAATTAATCACAAGATTTGGAAACTCTGGTCACCCGGGTGAAACTTTCGGCTCAAAGCAGAAGCTGAAGCTGGAATGAATGAACTCATTCGGTATGTTGGCGCTGAGCTTCTAAGCGGCTTTCAGGCCATTAACAGAAAAATACGGGCAGAGAGAGAGAGCCAACTCTCTCTCTCTCTCTATCTGTGTGGCTGTTTGCTGGCACTCTCTCGATGCTCTTACTTGGCCAAAAGAAGCAGCAGCAACTTTTCTTGGTTTTATGACTCTTTTTTTTCGGCTACGGCCAACATGCTCAGTCAACCTTGGCAAGGCCGTTGTTGCCGGTTTTTTATGCTGCCTGTATGTATCTGTATCTGTCTGTGTGTGTGTCTGTGTATCTGTGGGTTGGGTTTGCGTGGGTCACTCTGGTATGCGGCCAACGGAAGTGCGTTCGAGTCTGTAATTGCCCGTCCCGGCCAAACGACATCCCTCGAGCCCCCTCTTTCGACACTCCTGGCCAGCAGATGGTGCGGCCCTTTGGCTAATTGCACCGCCAATGCCAATGCATTGTTAGCGTCATTAGAGCACCGTTTGGGTGTTCGGCTATTGGCTAAATATAGCAATTACTGTATCCGCAGAATGTCCTGTTGCCAAATTGAGCGGAAACCGTTCCCCGCTAACAGGATGAAATAAATTCAGAAATTGTCAAGGCACATGTGACCATAGAAGTTAATCGCTTTAAAATGTATAGTAAATGTTGGAAAATCGCTTGGAAAATGCTTTAAAATTGAAGCTCTCAAATCGCTTGGAAAATTTAATATGTCAGCGAGAAAATTGCGGTGTAAATTGAAGAACATGTGGTGAAAAATTTCTACAAATTTACTCTTTGAACTGACTTAAAACTAAGTTATTTTAGTGGCATGAAAAAACATTTTCCCCTACGCCTCAAGGTCTCAAAAATTAAAGCAATTGTAAAATAAAATCTTAAATATTTTTGTATTGTTTTATGGCATTTCTTATGAAGCCAAAATTTTAATTAAAATATTCAAACTGTAAAAAATCAAGCAATAAAAATATAATTCAAAAAAATTCTGGATATTGATAGACTATGCTTAGAGAAGTCCAAATTCCATACTGGTATATTTAATTCCAATGTGCTACTATTTTAAAATGATTTTTTAATTATTATTAACGGTCCCTGGAATTACTATTTATTTATTACTATTTATTAACAGTGCATGCTGAATTTAATGTATTGCAAAATTCCGCTTTCATATGAACAGCATTTCATTATGTCGTGTCGGTGCATTTTCAACCACCAGTCCCAGTCTCTCTTTCTCTCATTTATCTCTTTCGCATGGCATTCTCTCTCAGTCTCTGCGCTCTCCCCCGCTGTAGGCATGCAGTTTGGTATGCGCCATCTCGCTCGAATGTGCAATGCCAGAGAGCCTGATCAACGACAGTTGTCTCGCTTGCACAACCCCCGAAGATAACGCTATAGTGTGTGTGTGTGTGTGTGTGTGCATGAGTGAGCGAAGCATCTGTGTGTGTGTGTCGCTGCCAGACCAAACCGACTGCTTGCCGCGACTGCGTCATTTCAGTTGCTTTCAAGCAGGCAGCGCAAACGGTTCTTTTTTCGGTCAAGTATCTGGCAGATAGAGTATCTACAAACGATGCGCGTGCGCCGTGCGAATTTCGCCAGGTTTTGAAATAGTTGAAAACAGTGAACGAAAACCCAAACAACAATCAAACTAAAGATCAAGCAGTGTCACAGTGCCCATAAGCAGTGTCACAGTGCCCATAAGCAGTGAAAAAACAGTGGCAAAAAACTAAAGCAAAGACTTTGCCAATTGAAACACTTTTGGATTAGTTTCAAGCCCAAGTGAGGAAGGAGGAGAGAACAGAGAACTACCAAAATGGTACGCAGCCTGGCCCAGTGGACCAAGACGCTGAGCTTCCCGTCGCGCCTCTCGCCCAATCGCAACTCCAAGGACTGCTCCACATTGGCCAGCCCAGTGCCGCCGCCAACGCCGCCGCGCAACAAGACACACAGCCATTGTGCCACCTCGAGGTCCTCCTCGTCGACAGTGTCCTCGTCGCACTCCTCGTCGGCCAATTCGCACAGCTCTCCGACGCCAGGAAGCAATGGCAACAACAATAACAATATGCCCATAACGGAACTGGAACAGATTGTAAGTTATCCAAATAAACAAAAGAGAAAAATGGGTACCCCTTGGAGGTACTTCCTGTTTTTGGTACTTTTGGCATGCCAGCTGTGCAAATAGCAGGCATCGAAGCCCCTTAAACTCATCCATAAAAGCGATGCAAAGTTCCCTATCGGAATCGTTGCATTCCATGCTGATAAAGCTCATTGACCCAGTTGAATGGGCCCGGGACAGGGCTGGCTTAGCCGTGCACTTACCAGCATTATCAATCAATCAGTTTCATCAGTTTCGTAAAACAAATAGCCCCACGGTATGTAGACCAACTGATAGCGCTGGGCATACGGATTTCCAGCACCAGATAAGCGGGTTTTTATTTGTTTCAACTATCGAATATGTATTTAGTTGTGGCCCACTCCACATCGATCCATGCAATTACAAAGAGTCCCCACTGTTTCATGGCCATTGGCCAAGTTGAGATCAATTTGCACAAAATGCCGCCGCACTCAGAGCCCGAGCCCGAGCCCGAGTCCCGAACAGAGGCCCGCCCAGAGCGAAGCAGCATATGCTGGCCGGGGGAAAATAGACATAAAAACGAAGCAGAAGAAATTGAAATAAAAAAATCCGAAAAGCAAACAGGATGTAGACACGCTTGAACAGACCCAGAAGGGAATGATATGGTATATGGTAGCATAGCATGCTCGTACATACATATATGGGAGATGTGCAGCAGGGACACATGTGCACAACGTGGCTGACAATTTACCCTACCCTGGGGTTCCATATGGAAACGAAGCAACCCCCGACTCCCGACTACCGAATCTGGGTAAAGGTTTACGAGTGAGCTATGGAGTAGCATAAATAAACTTCTCAATTTAGGAAATGGGCATGGAAATACCTAGAAATTATTTGATTGCCAGATTCGTGGATGTTTTTTTCGTTAGTTTCCAACAGATTTACATCCGCATCAAATGCAAAACTATAGCACTGAATTATGAATCTCTCTGCGAAGATTCCCTGGGTTTGGTATGCGCATTTTCTGTAGTAATCAGAGCTCCCATAGCCACTTAGACTCCTCCGTTGGCATTCCTTTTGCAATCCGCTTTGGACATTCTCTATGGTCAATTGCATTCATCGGAGTCCCAGGCCGCACCCACAGCCACAGCCACGACCAAGTGGCGCTGGGCAACATGCCACACTTTTCATTCGTGGAAATGGAAAATCGTGAGCAGCAACAACAGTGGCGCCTGCGACGCATCCGCGGCAAATGCCAAAGTTGAAGAGCCCCCCCACAAAAAGCACGTAGGGGGGGCACTGCAAACCGTTAGACAAAAACAAAATACAAAAGATAAGTGGCAGAGTAGCAGTGAGGCAGAGTGCGGCAGCATGCGGCAGCGTGCAGCAGCGTGCGGCAGCGCTTATGTAAGTCAGAGTGGCGCATATTTGCCATTTGCGAAAAGCGAAACAAGTTTCTTGTTTTTGGTTGGTGCAAGTATTTGGCCTGCAGCGACGCTTTAGACTAACGATGCGGATTGTGGAGAGTGGATTGTGGATAGTGGATTGTGGCTTGCGGATTGGGCCAGCATCTGGAAAAGTTGCCCAACGGCTTTTCAGCGGCTGCGTCGCGAGGCCGCGGTGCAAAGTACAAACAAACAAAAACATCCTTGGCCAAAGGTAAACTAAACCAGTTAACCAGTTGCTCCCACATTGCGGACGGGGGCGTCTGCTCCCCATCTAGTTTCGCCCCCAGTGCATGCCACATTCCCGACTGAAATTCCAATCCGAGAAACAGCAGCCGCAGCACTTCCGTCAGTTGGCGGACAGATACGAGTATTTCCCACAATCTGTGCAGCGGGATCGAGATCCTGTTGCTTTTCCCACACTTTCAACGGATGTTAGGCTTCAGCTAGAACGTGCTACCAGCAACGCTTCACATTTCGCTTTCGATTAGCATTCGATTAGCATGCCATTGATAATGACACATTTCACTTTGAGAGCCGAAACCCCGCCGCTGACTACACACATTTCTTTTGCAAGGGCAGACCTTGTCAAGAATTACTGCTAATGCCGGCAAGTCTTGCGACCAGAGAGTATGACGACCCCACTGGCCAACTGGCAAACTGGCTAACTGTCGTTTCCTGTACCCGGTCCCAGACGGGCAGCTGCTTATTCGGGCCAACAGCAACGGAAAAAAGGTCAGCCTCAGACCCGCATTTCAAAAGACACCAAACAGCAGCAGCAGCAGCAACAGCAGCAGCAGCTGCCGAAGGCAACAAAAACCAAAATAATGACAGCACTGCACAAAAATTCACCTGCCTGCAAAATGTTTGCAGTCTGAAGTCGGAGCCGAACATCAGGGGATGGATGGATGGATGGATCGTAGTCATAAACCTAGATATGGCAGATGGCAAATCAATGTACAGCATGATTAACAGGAACAAGAGCAAGAGCAGCACTGGCCTTTGCTCTCTGTGATTAACAACAAACACAGCATCAATGTGTGTTATTAAACCGCGATCATAGTTTCATCATTCACTTACTTGGCTATCAAAGCACACGCAAAATCAGATTACTCTTTGTTAGGGTATCAGTACACACACACACATACATTTACACCATTGCTGCTCTGCTGCTGCCATGAGAGCAAATGCAAAGGCAGGTGCTGAGCGCGAGAGAGAGCGTGGTACAGCGTAGCGTCGTAGCATTGTCGTCTACTTGTTTAGAAATCAGCTGCTCTGCTCTGCTCTGCACTGCTCTGCTCTGAGTCGTCGTCGTCGTCGACGTCTCAGGTGAAACCAGTTTGTGGTATTGGCCATGTTATGTTTTTGTTTTTTGTTGTTTTTTCTTTTTTGTTTTTTTGCAGCTGTCTGGCTCGCATTGAATGAGATGTTGGTTGCTGCTGAAATTACACACAAGCTGACGTTTTTTTCTTTTGTCAATTATACAAAAACTGCGCATCAGCTGTTTGCGCTCTCTCTCTCTCTCTGCGTCTCTTGCTATGCATGGAAATTCGCCAACGCTGCACTTTTGCTGCAGCGGAGGTATCGATGCATTTTATTGGGTCACTCGATAACATCAGCAGGCAGCAGCAGCAACAGCAGCAACAGCAGCAACAGCAGCAGCATCAGGCAGGCAGACCACAAAAACAGTTGGAAGCTCCGCGGTCGTGGGAAGTTTTGGCCTTAGGCAAACAGCCAGAAACGATCTAATTAGAGCTCCAGCTGCGAGTAAATAAAAGTATCAGTATCAGAGACATTTAGCACAGTTTTCATAGAGCTTATACGTGGTAGTTGCCATATGAATGTTGAGAATTTCTTGGGCAAACACAACACAGCACAGCACAGAAACTTCAAATAAAAAAGTAAATAAAAAGCTAATTCCAATGCTCACGTACCAAATAAAAAGCATGCCAGCGCATGCACCGGGGGGAACAGACCCATGCCAAGATTCTCCCTCCCCCTCTGCGGCACACAAATGAATGTTGGTTAGGAAATTTGTGTATGTTAACAGTTGCAACGGAAGTTGGCCCAGAGGGGAGTAGCAGGGTGCTAAGGTGCCAAGTTTCCCTTCCACAGGTAGCCAGCCCCCCCACTGGAGTTGATTGCATTGATGATCTTTCAGGTTAGCGACTGACAAATTGTGTTGGCCCAAAAAAGAATAGATCAAACTATTCTTCAAACATTAATTATAGTCCACTAAATGCAATCAGTTGTAGCTCTAATTTGTAGCTTAAGGGTTTTAGTGAATAATAAATAATATTTACCCAGCTACACATTTATTAATCATCATTTATTGATGCACCTACACTTCAATTTATTTCACTTCTGTTTATATTTATGGCTACGGAATTCCCAACTAATTTCAAGTTAATTTCAAATAAATTTACAAATAAATCCCCCCAAAAACGAGCCACCCTTCAAATGAAAGTGCCTGCCGAGATCAATTTGTCTATTAATAAAAGAAAAAAAACATGAACAAAATATGTTCCCTTTTGTGGCACATTTCCATTCCTCTTCCTTTTCCTTTTCCCCGAAACTTTCAACAGAGGCATAAACAACGTCGCTTGGCATGGGATGGGTTGAAACTGAACCGAAACCCCTCCCCGAGGGGAGGCCCTGCTGTGGCCATAAAAGCCTTAAAAATAAAACAAACTTCTTTGGCTCTACGAGCGCCTTGAACTTTATTGGAACTTGTGGAACTGGAAGGAGGTGTAAAAGTGGACTAGACCCATGCCAAGAGAGATGAGGCGGCATGAGAGATGTCGGTCTTACACGGAATCGAATTCATTCGATGTCTAAAATTATAAAATTGTTTTCCTGCTTATATCTAAATTAAATTTTTATGATCTGCACCCAAGTGGAGTGCAGCATCGGCATCGTCGGTTGCCACTCCAGGAGACTGACTATAGGACTGCCCCTCCCCATAAAAATAAAAACAAAATCCGGGCAACTGCTGCGGCTGCTGTTGTCCATAAATAATGAATGCTCAGCTCCACTCCACTCTTTTTTGTTGTTTGTTCCTCCTCTGTGTTTCCACTTTCATTTGGCTTGAACATTGATTTGATTTGATTTGGAGTTGCTGTCTGTTTTTCTTTTCTTCTTTATATGTTTAATGGCCGCACCATGAAATATTTGGCCACGCTTTCGTGTGGAATTTCAATTGGTTTTGTCTAGAGCTTTACATAAGCAAAGAACCAATCAAATGGCATGACTTAATGCTTGATAATTATAGCAAATACTACAGTAAATATTCCCTTTATTCTTTGACTTTGTTGGCACATTTAAAGAGAAGCAAAAAGTTTGCCTAAAATTATATAATCAAGCAGCCTCCACTGTACATGTGGGGAAGTCAAAGTAAATTAACCTCAACAGTGCAGAGGGGCTGGTAATTGCCTCTCAAAAAAAAAAAAAAAACTACTATCTGCTTTATAATTGTTTGGTTTCCCCGTAAACATTCGGTATACGTTGACAAACCGTTGGAGGAGACAAACATCTTTTGATCTCTGATCTCTCTCCCTGCCTCCGTTATGGGCTATGCTGTGCGGGCTGCATGTTCTTCATTAAAACATCGACAAAGCAACGTGAAATTTCTGTATGTAAACATGAGCGGAGCAATTTGTTTACGGCATATCTGCCGTTGAGTGGCAGCTACTTCCTTTATGCCGCAAGCTGTGGGTGGCTGAACGAGCTTCAAGCCTCAACATTTGAAACTTCAAATGTATAATTGGTCCATGGCCCTGCTCTGCTCTACAGAGTTCAAATTCAGCGTCTAATGGTTTCGAAAACGTTGACATTAAAACAGAAACCAACAAAAACTCGTTTTCACATTAAATAAAAAATTACCAGCAAAAGGCAGTTCCGTAGAAATACGAGTATGTATTATACATATTTCTACGCACATGGAATCCCATCTGATCTCAGCTCAAAATTAACAGAGACTGTAGCTCTGTCTCTCTGTCTCATTGCTGTCTGCTCCCTGCTCTGCTCCCTTCTCATGTGTTAATTGCTTATTATATCTTCGTTTTAATGTCGCTTCTACAAGTTGTCTCTTTCTCTGGCAGTTGAGTGCCACGGACTCATGCCCCGACCATAACCCATACCCCATACCCATCTGCTCCGGGGGCAGATGCAGCGACATGTTCATTTATCAAAAGTCAAGCCACGCTCTGGGTCTGGGTCTGGGCGCTGGGCGCTCGGCGCCCCAACAACTGCAGATAAGGTCAATTAAAAGAGTCAACCGGAAATGTCGCGACGCTCGGTTAGGAGCTGACTGCACGGAGCCAGCCCATTAGGAGGGGGAGTCTCTCCACTGCCCCATCCAATGCAAGCCCAAATGTTAATGTTTACCCAAATATTAGGAGATGTCGCAGACCCCATATGGATGGCTGAATGGGTTCGTAGCGAAGAATGGGGGCGTTGTAATTAGATTAGGAATCGCAGCACTCAGGCCGGCTGCCTGAGGCATGTGGCATGCAACTCATAAATATTTTCGCACAACAACGCAATTTATTATTTTAATCTGCCGGATGTGAAGTCGCAGTCGATCCCATTCCACCCCACCCCCCCCATCCCAGCTGCAATTAAAAGGAAAATGAAGGCAAAGAGAAATGCAGCGGACGAACTGTGGAGCAGCGAGTGAAAAGCGATTGCACTTCTTATAGGCAAAAGGCAGTCAACCGAAGGAGAGTACGTAGTGTAGTGCCCCCAAAATGATCGTTAGAAGAAGCAACTGGCAGTAGCAGTAGCAGTAGCAAGGGGTGCAGGGAGGAGAACAGGAAGTGTCTGTCTGGGTGTGTCTCTGGGCCCAAGAACATGAAAAATATTTGACGGTTTTTCCTCCACTGCGAACACCGTGAAAGACAGGGAAGGACAGGGGAAGAACAAGGTGCAAAGCAGGTAGCCGGAAAATCAATATCAGTCCAGAGAGTTGGGCTGATCGAGCGATAAGCAGGGGATGGGGATGATGCCTTCCATCCTCAAGAGCGCGCTGCTTATCGTGTGTGTGTGTTGTAGGCACCTATAAATGGAGGGAGTAACCTCACAGATCACAACAGTTCCCGTTCAACTTTCGCACTAGAAAAGGCGTTCCATTCCGATGGGTTTTTGGCAGCAATTTGGAAAAATTAAAAGCAAAGTACGGGCAGGGCAGCCCAGACATATTCCATTCGCTTCTGCCTGCTTTAAACATTGTCTAATTTCGGAATTTTCCCCGTTTTATATTTACAGATCTATCCCGGTCCAGATCCGAAGCACATTATGGGCTCCCTGGTGTTCTGCATTCACCACAAACAGGGCTGCAAGTGGTCCGATGAGCTGCGCAAGCTGAAGGGCCATCTGAACGCCTGCAAGCACGACGCCACACAGTGCCCCAATAAGTGTGGCGCCCAGATACCACGCATCATGATGACCGACCATCTGCAGTACACCTGCACCATGAGGCGCACGCGCTGCGAGTTCTGCCAGAGCGAGTTCTCGGGCGCCGGCCTGGAGGAGCACAACGGCAGCTGTGGCCAGGAGCCGGTCTACTGCGAGGCCAAGTGCGGACAGAGGATACTGCGCGGTCGGATGACGCTGCACAAGTCGAAGGACTGTGCCAAGCGACTGCGCCGCTGTGCCCACTGCCAGCGGGAGTTCTCGGCGGATACACTGCCCCTGCATGCGGCCCAGTGCCCCAGGGCTCCGTTGGCCTGTCCGCAGCGCTGCGATGCGGGTCCGATTGCCCGCGGCGAGCTGGAGGCGCATCTGCGCGACGAGTGCCAGTCGCTGGCGGTGGCCTGCAGCTTCAAGGAGGCTGGGTGCCGCTTCAAGGGGCCCCGCCAGATGCTGGAGACGCACCTGGAGAGCAATGCGGCGGCGCATCTGTCGCTGATGGTGGCGCTCAGCTCGCGCCAGGGCCAGCAGATTCAGATGCTCAAGTCGGCGGTGTCCAAGCTGTCCATCAACTATACGGGCACGCTGCTGTGGAAGATCACCGACTGGTCGGCCAAGATGACGGAGGCGCGTGGCAAGGATGGCCTCGAGCTGGTCTCGCCGCCCTTCTACACCTCCCAGTACGGCTACAAGCTGCAGGCCTCCATGTTCCTCAATGGCAACGGACCCGGCGAGAACACCCACGTCTCCGTGTACATCAAGGTGCTGCCCGGCGAGTACGATGCGCTGCTCAAGTGGCCCTTCTCGCACTCCATCACGTTCACGCTGTTCGAGCAGGGCGCCCAGAGCGGCCAGGGTGGCGTCGCCGAGTCCTTTGTGCCCGATCCCACATGGGAGAACTTCCAGCGACCCTCCAACGAGCCCGATCAGCTCGGCTTCGGTTTCCCCCGCTTCATTTCGCACGAGCTGCTGCACAGTCGACCCTTCATCAAGGACAACACCGTCTTTCTGCGCGTCAAGGTGGATCCCAGCAAAATTGTTTCAGTCTAGATAGGCACAAAACCCAACCCCACACCACCATTAGTAGTCCTAGACATTTACTCGACTTTCGTAAATACTGTGTATTTAAATTTATGAGTAAACACACCGCCCCAACACCGCTCCCCCTCCCTGTACTGTACACAGCTTCGGGCAGCAGTTAGCCGGCAAGTGCTAACTGGCCTTGGAATGCTGTCTCCCCGCCACCCGCCACCCCACACCCATTACTGCGTATTAGTCATAGCTTCAGATACGTGAATTAAGATTATTGCAGTGCTGGAATTAAACCAAAGCATACATACATACATTTATATAGCTGTAATCTATCCATTAGCCTATGTCCTAAGTTTGTGTTTTAAGTCTTTTGTTTTTAGGGATTTTTTGTATTTTCTGCGCGCCAGCTGCGCGAACACTTTCAAAAGATCTTCAAACTAGAATCGTACGCACACCAGAAATCAAGTTACGCTAGAATAAGTTGCATGTACATAGCATACGAAACGGAGACGCCACAAGCCGCAGCCCTAGTTCTAGTTGTAGCCACTAAGCCAGCGGATACATTAGTCATTAGTACCATGAACTTACAGCATAGTCAGAGGAGATCAGTTTGTGTCTATCCACTAAGCAGTCAAAAACTACAATAAAAATTAAAATAAAATCTACAATAATTCGAAGAAAAAGAAACTTTAGAGAACTTTCATTGTCAACTAAAAGGGAGAGAGGAGGAGCCGCCAAAGTGCAGACAGAAGCATTTAAAATGTGCTAAGAATCATCTGGACATGGTAAACATATTTTAATATATATGTATGTGGCGAGCTTCGCAGCACTACCAGAGGACAAATAAAGCACTTCGAAAATCCAATTTAAATTTCGGGAAATTTTTTTGGTTGTGCTAAGTTAAGTCTACAGGCGAATCAAACTCAATGTGGCTGCTAGAACTTAATGGAATGATGTGTCAAACTCCCCGCGTTGGTCTGATCGACTAGGGAAAACGTTTCTTTAGCAAGCTCTCCAGCTTTCGTATGCCCGTCTGACTGCTGCCATCGGCATTCTTGTCCGCGCTGCCCGTAAAGCTGCCCACGCTGAAGATGAAGGCACGCTTGGGTGTGGCCGACGAAGCCGTTGTCGCCATCGTCGTCGTCGTTGTTGTTGTTGCTGCTGCTGAATCACCTGTGGCAGTTGAGGGCTCCGCATCGTCCACAGTGCCGGACGCAAGCGTCTGATCTGTGTCCTCGTCACCGCTGGCCGCTGGCTCGATTAGGCCACTGACCGCTGCCGCCGATGCCGTGTGCTTGAAGAGATCTATCAGCTGCAGCTGATCCACGCGCTTGACCGCTTTCATGTCGAGTATCTTCTGATACTCGGCAATGGTGATGTCCGGCAGCAGCTTCAGCACCTGCTGCGTAAAGTGTGCCGGCGGCTGGACGGGCGTCATCACCACCTTGATGATCATTTCGGCACGCGTCATGTCCTTGACCACCACCTTGGTGTAGCTGGTGGGCGCCTTGCGGTTCACACTCGACCCCACCGACGGCAGCTCCAGCAGCGCCGTCTTCAGCGAGTGCGTGTCGAGGAGCAGCTGCTCGCAGCCCAGCACATTGTTGGAGCCATCGGATAGGGTGAGCTTGCATCTGTACAGCACATTGATGAACTTGGGTATGAAGGCGGCCACGAAGCGGTGACAGAACTGCGTAAAGTATTTGCGGGAGCTGGCCAGCGTGTCCCGGATGGTGGGCACTGTCTGCTTGAAGTTGCCGCAGATGCTGTTGATGAACGCGCTCTGATCGCCCACATTGTTGATGTGCTGCCACTGCACCTTGGCCATGGCCTGCAGCGAGGTCTCGCAACCAGCCTCCAGATCCTGAACCAGCAGTTGAATGCAGTTCGAAATTATTCTAAAAAGAAACAAAATTTTCAAATAAATATCTGAATATATATTCTACGTGTGAGTGGCACCTACCGATGGAACACATCCTTCTCCTCGCTCATATCGATCTTGGCCACATAGCCAGCGGTGACTTTCTCCTTCAGCTTGTCCTCCAGCTGCTGGACCGTCTCCAGGCAGTACTCGCCTGTCGTCAGCACGCAGCAGATCCGCACGAGATCGTCGCGTGTGAATCGTTGCGTGTCGCCCTCCTTCAAGAAATTGTGGAACACTTGGCCAGCGGCCGTCGACAGATTTTGCATGTCGCGCGTGAGCAGCGAGACGCTCTTGCCAATGGAACTGCTGGTGGTGGCCGGCACGAGCTTGGGTGTGCTGCCCTCGAGCACCTTGACGGCATACTCGCGCAGATATTTCTTGAACACCAGAGCCAGGTCGTACATGGGCTGCTCGTTGCTCAGCTGATTGCACTGCACCATGCACTTCTTGTAGAACACAAAGAGATCCCCAGAGCTTGGGTACACGGTGGTCTTGGCCTCGGCGAACTTGTACGGCTCCCGGGACATCTCCACGAACTTGTCCATCAGCTCGGACAGATTCCGATCGATGCTGCGTATGTAGATGTCCAGGTGGGTTTTGAAGCACTGCCCGATCTGGTCGTGGAACACAGTGACGGCGCCTGGCGCATCTGCACCAGCGGCTGGCTGCACCAAGACGCGCGCCTGTTCCGCAGCCGTGGCACCCAGAGTAACGCCCGTGAAGCGTTTCGACAGCAGCTGCTCGAAGGCCTGCGTCTTGTTGATGGCAAACAGCAGCAGCCGCACATCGATCTCGTTGCTCCGCTTGGCCATGATCTGCGACAGCTGGTCGCGCGTCAGCCGACAGAACTCGACGGTGATGCGCTCCGAAACCTCCCAGTCCAGCGGAAAGACGGCTCCGTACTTGTCCTCAAAGTCCAGCAGGTGCCGCTTGAGCCAGGCATATCGCTTGTCAATTTTGTCCAGCCAGGCTATGTCCTGATTCTCGTGAAACAGATGCATGTACTCCTCCAGCTGCTGGGCAATGAACCACTTGAGCAGCTCCTTCTTCACCTTGGGGTCCAGAACGGACATCACCTTGCAGGCATCCCCCAGTTGATTCAGTCCCAAACGATGATGGCTCTGGCCGGAGGGCTTGCTGGAGGCGAACGCCTCCTTGAAATCTTCGCTGATTTGCTGCGCCAATGTCACCTGTATTTTGTCCACGCTCTGCGAGAGATTCTGCAAGGGGACCATGGGTACCATGAGGCGGATGCCAAGTGACAGGCAATCGAAAAACACTCACCTTGATTTCCTCAATGTCGGAGAACTGCTGGAAATGCTGATTGACCTCTGTGATGGCCTGCAGGGGATTCAGAATCTCCCCGTAGGACCGCCGCTCAATCAGCGTGTTGAGGCTCTCGATGCCGCCCACCAGCATATGCAGATGATTCAGCGTGGTAATGGCCGAGGTGAGGTTCCGCTTGGCGCAGTCCAGCTGCTTGATGTCGCGCGTAATTTCCTTGACCATCTCCTCCGTGCGCTCCGCCCGTGTCTTTACGTCAATAATGTGACTGAACAACGAACTGATGACCTTCTGTGCCTCGCACAGTGCCAGCTGTCCGTCCTGTCCCGTATTGGTCTGTCCGCGCACCACCGACCGAATGTTGTCGTCTATCAGCGAGACCTCGCACTGCATCTTCTGGATGGTCTCATCGATGCCCACCAGCGACTGTTCGTTGGGGAACAGCTGATTGATGTAGTCCACGGTATTGAAGTCCGGTGCGTCCATGGGATCCTCCGTTTTAAGGACCTGCAAATGCAACAACCACAGCAATATGTTTGCAAAGTGTCTTTTGCTTTTGCGGCGTTGGCGTTGGCGGAGTCTCTCACCTTGTCGATGACTTGTTTCACCTCCTTGGAGAAGTGTATCTTGTTGTTGGCCACCATTTTCCCGGTACTGGCCTCTGGCTCAACAGGCACAGGCGCAGCCACAGCAGCCTCGCTCATTTTATTTCTTTTATTTATTTATTGAAATAGAGGTGTCAAACCATCGAGGGCACTATCGATTGGATCGATATTTTACTGATGGCCTCTACTATCGACGGTTTTGAGACTATCATGATAGTATCGAGCTACAGTCGTTGCTCTATTGATATGTTGGGATACGAAGACAAATTTGTAAAAAAAATCGACAGGTGGCATCTAATTTTTACAATGGACAAGTTCCTAAAAGGTTTCAATGGTTTTTTAATAATTATTTCAGCCCGATACTATTACGACAGTATCGATTGTTTTTTTCAAAACATTCAAAGCTATCGATGGCTCAACTATCAATCGTTTGACAGCTCTACGTTGAAATATTTCTTACAATTTTATTGTTTTTTGTTATGTTCAGTGTGACCGCGGAATTATCGCTCAAGTATACCGCGTGACCATCAGGAATATACTAAAATATACCGAGAATATATATTCTACATATTTGCGACATTACATTACATGTTTTCGATACATACATTTTGTGTACTTCCACGGTCACACTTACGTTAAAAAGCCGCTCGATTTAAAAAAAAATAACATTTTATTTATGAGAGGTTTCCTATAGACCGCCAGTGCAGCCATGAAGACCTCCACGCCAGTGCTATGACGCGAGCAGGACAACACTTTCCAGCCAGCAATCGCAGTACTTTGGAGAGACAGCACCCCCACAGAACTGGCGACGCCAGTGGTGCTGTGGAGACCACGCCCGTAGAACTCATCCTTATAGCTATATGTGTAGGGGCGCGGATAACTCCATCTTTAAAATTATTTATTATATAAAATATGGTTCTTTTCTGGGGCAGGGAGGGTCTTCTGACCCATACTTGGCTGATCTTGAATGAGGCAAACCAGACGAACATCTCAGCGGCCTCCGGGCTTGTAGACTCCTGTGCTCAAAGTGCATGCGAGCAGATTTCCAGCTCAAGGAAATCCCACATTAAACTCTCCCTTCTCAGCAATATGCCAGGGCATCCACAACCACATATTCCATGCCATGTAGCAGATAAAAAAACTTCCCGATGAAAGCAATGTCGCAGTTTTTGGTATCTCATTCTGTGATCTGTTATCTACTTATAGTTCATTAGTTTAGTTTAGAAATATGAAAAAAAAATGCCTGCCATCACTGCGAAAAGAGCGAATTGCTTGCTGGGGCCGTGGTCGAGCCAGCAATCGATGCACTCAGCATTGAGGTGTCACGCTGGGAGGCTGTGGCCGTTCGCTGGTAGCGCGCTATGTGATCGAGGGAGTAGGGCAGAATGGGACGGACGCTGTGTATTTCCAGGAGCGTCAGGTTATCCAGCTTGGCGTATGTGCCCTCGCCCTTGATGAAGGCATCGATGGAGGTGCGCAACTTCGACTCGCGAATGTCAAATATATCCTTGATGACGGTGCGCAGCTCCTCGCAGCGGGGCACATCGTCCGGCGCAGTGCTCATGACCAATTGGGCCACAACCATATAATGCTCGGATGGCATTTTGGTAAAGAATCTGTTTGGGGGCAGACTATAGAAATTGACTTGCTGCACCGAAATGAAATCGAACTTACTTGGAGCGTTTCTCTTCTTCTTTGATGTCCTCGAGTGTGTCCATGTCCATCCATTCGGGTGGCACTATGCGGCACTTTTGTTGCTTTCGCAAATGCGTTGCCATCCACAGGGGCACGAAAACTGGGAAGCCGGCACGGAATGGGCCCACCGAGCCATAGATCAGATGCAGCGGCTCGTTGGAGAAGTTGGGAATTATGCTAATCATGCACTTTTCACCAATAAACTCAATAATGGCCGGATCCATGGCTGGGTTTTTGTCTTTTGCGGATGTAAACAATTCAATTCGATTGGTATGGCCACACTTTGTGGAAATACGTTCACACTTAGAGAGTGGAGTTGCCGCCTATCGAAAAGATCGATTTGCAAAACAGCCGGTAGGAGCAGGCTGCGCAGCCCTGGCACCCAAACGGCCGTTACACGCTTCTCGCAGCGCACATTTGATTACATCACGAAAATCAAGGAACGACGTCAAACTATTGACGCGCCTGATTGTGGCCAATTATGGCTGCAACTATAAATATGCAAACGCAGTGCAGCGACAGCTGGCCAGAGGTTATCAGCGCTTGCACCTTAGAAAATCTGACTAATTTGTGCTCCTGATTTGAAGTGCAAATTCTGTTATTGCACCAACCAACCAACCAACTATTGCCAGCCCAGCCAGCTAAATCACGTAAAACGCAAACGGAGCGTCGTGATAAGCGCATGAATGCCAAACATGATCAAGCAGCGATCAAGTTCAGCAAAGTTTTCCGCTTAGTATATATGTACATATAATTCCATCCAAAACAAAAGCCCCTCCCCGTCAGCGCCAGCGCCTGCAATTAACCAAATCCAAATCCAAATCTTGTAAACTGCATTAGATAAACCGAATGCAACGAGGGTGAGAGAGAGAGAGTGAGAGAGAGAGCGGAGGGACCATATCTTATCAGTATTTTATCCCCGCCACCAGTCGGGGGGTATGGAACGCCATTGAACTTCAAAATGAGGGTCAAGACAAGGTTAGTTCTGTGGAATCAACTTGGAAATGATTCAAGTTCCACATTGTACTCTGTCTCCACTGCAGACGAAAACCCCAAAAATAGAAATCCAAATCGAAATATAAATGTTCTATTTACTTTTCGGATGTTCTTTAGAGAGCAGAGCAGAGCGCAGATCGCAGATCGCAGATCGCAGAGACCCAACCAAAGCTTGTTTACGATTCGATTTGTTGACTTATCACTTGGAAAGGCAATATTGCCACCGATCCAACGATCACGGGGTGTATTGGGATGCGATGGGATCGGATGGGATGGGACAGCAGCAGCCGTGAAACATTCTCAAGCTGATAATACCAGGCGCGGCCAGTTAATTCTAGAAAAACTAGCAACAACATAGCATGTATGTACATATATGCGGCAAGGCAATGCGATCCCACAATCCAATCGCTATGATGGTTGCACCTTGAGGGGCTGCTGCTCCTGCTAGAAGGATGCCCCCCCAGCATGCAAGTGGGTCAAAAGCGAGACTTTGATTCGGGTTTCCTTCCTGCCTGCCTGCCTGCCTGCTGCTTGACTCTGACTCTCTCTCTTGCAATGGAGCAGCAGCGAGTGGAACTAGCAGACACTGGTGGCACGTTTCACACACTCATAATCAGCTGCTGCTGCTGCTGCTAGTGCTGCTGCTGGCTATACTAATAGACTAGAACGCTGGACGATTTTCTGATAAGCCATAAGATGAGATTGAGAAGAGAGAGGAGTGGAGTGGAGAGAGACGTGAGTGGACGTGGACTGTGGAACCCAAGTGGGCGAGAGGTGGGTGAGAGGGGGTGGGGACAGTGCTTGATGCGCATCAATTTTTAGCAGAAAAGTGCGACTTGAGCGAGTAGTTGGCTTAGTACTTGTCTATTTTTGGCAGGGTACGGTACGGTGCTGCTACTGGCTACCGCGAGAAAATACCTCTATCTCAACGCTGCCAGGAAAACACTGGAAATTGCTCTTCGAAAAAAGTACACAGACTCACGGACTCATCGGCTCATAGGCGAAATTGCATTGAATTGAGCAGATAAGACAAACAACCAGTCCCAGTCCCAGTCCCAGTCCCCACGGCAGTTTTGCTCTTCGGAATCGCTTTCGGCTCTCCCGGCTCCTGGGTCGTGTGCTCTCGTCTCGTCTCGTCCGTCCTATATAAGTATTGGCGATTGAAGAGGCATCCACTGATCTGACAGATCGTCAACCTGTACCAGATCCGCAGCTTCGGTCAGTGCAATTCGTGCGGCCCAAAACGGCAGGTGTTCATCCTCCCACACATTCCACACATTCACATAACCCAGCTTCCAACGGGCTTCCAATCTTCCAATCAAAATTTGCTCCAAAAATTATGTGCTAATTTTTGGCCCTTTTGCATCCATCCAACGAGCAGTTTCCAGCCAGTCCAGTTCAGTCAGCCACTTCTAAATCTAAATCGAACGTTGAGCAGAACAGAATCCTGAACAGAATGCCCGACACGGAGATCATTGTGACCAATGCCGGTGAGCCCTCGACCAAGGCCAGCCTGATTGTTGTCTCTAACCGACTGCCCTTTGTGCTCATTCGCAATGCCATAACTGGGCAGCTGGAACGCAGAGCCAGGTGAGTGTTTTTTAATCCTAAATCAAGTGAGACTATTCGTCCAAGATGTTCGAACTTATCTGCCATCAAATTCAGTGGGCTGTGCAAAAGCTTTTACTAAGTATTGGAATTATTTGGGGATACTTAAAAGGGTTGAAATTTAAGAGTGAAAATTATGTCTCGGTTGTGAATAATTTACAAATTTTGTGCTATCTGTTGCCAGTGAAATTCACAATCGAAATGCTAAATCTATTAAGGTTTTTCCTATAGATCGAACAAGGTCAAGCAAATAGTTTGAACCGTAGCCAAAACAAAGGAAATTAATTAATAACAAAAACTACTAAGAAATTATTCGAATCCTCCAATAGTTTGCTTATCATTATTGTGGAATTAAACTCTCTCTCTTTGCACTCCAAAAATTCGATCCAAGTAACCCAAATTCGAACCACAGGCCTATAATTTGCATTGCCAGATAAGCCAATGCCTGCCCCGATAGGAAAAATCAACGTAACTACCTATGTATGATGCTTCAGTTCATCTCTACATAGCTGTTGAGTTTTGTGTTTCCACACGCCTCGGGGCTTATCAGCTTCTGGGCATACACACACACACACAGAGAGAATGGAATTGAAGGGAACTTCGCTTGCCAGACGGCACCCAGGCACAGGCTCAGGCTCAGGCACAGACTTGGAATGAAAATTAGAAAACAAATTCGAAAAATTAAATAATAATAATGGCGGGCGACTTGTGTTGTCTTATCAGCGAGGTCTATAACGCGTTTTTGAACCCAAGCAGTGGCTGTGAAAGGGGTCGCACGGGGCATTATGTTGGCAAGAATCTCTGAACCTGACACTGAACAGCGCGACACGTGAATGAAAGCAGCTTCTGTCACCCCGACCTATGCCAGGAGCGCGAAGTTACCAGCCGTAGTCTGTCTGTCTTCTGAGTTGCTTGAGTTGTTTTTTGTTTTTTGTTTTTTTTTTTTTCCTGCGGGGCTGTGGCAGTCCGGATCCAGAGACCCGTAGCTTGTTTACAATTGCCCGTTTCGAGGCGCTGGCTGATTAGATGGGGGCTTTCTTATCAGCGATCGGTGGTCGGTGGTCGCTGGTCGCTGGTTCGTGCACTCTATGCATAAAATGGGCGGGATCTTTGACTATGTGGCACACACACCTCATAATGTCTTGCCTCTGCTTCTCTGTGGCCTCTTCTTATTCGTTTCAGTGCCGGTGGCCTCGTCACTGCCGTCTGTCCAGTGGTAATCAAGGGCAACGGCCTCTGGGTGGGCTGGTCCGGCATCCATCTGGAGGATCCCAATGAGCCAATACCCGAATCGAATCCGAACGATCAGACGCCCACGGCGGGCCTCAAGTCCGACCAGGTCGTCTCGGTGAACATCGATCCGAAGATCTTCGATAGCTACTACAATGGCTGCTGCAACAAGATGTTCTGGCCGCTGTTCCACTCGATGCCCGGACGGGCGAACTTCGGCGGCGAGCACTGGGCCGACTATGTGACGGTGAACAAGCATTTTGCGGTGGACACCATCGAGGCACTGGAGAAGTGCCTGGCCAAGAAGCAGGGCAGCGAGAAGAGTCCGCCGATTGTGTGGATACACGACTACCATCTGATGCTCGCCGCCAACTGGGTGCGCGAGCACGCCGAGGAGAAGAATCTGCCCTGCCGTCTGGCCTTCTTTCTGCACATTCCATTCCCGCCATGGGACATCTTCCGTCTGCTGCCCTGGTCCGATGAAATTCTACAGGTGCGACTCCTCCCACTCTCCTTCGTCTCCTGCCTTTCCATAGCTTTGGTGTTTGATCCGTTTTTTAGGGCATGCTCGGCTGCGATTTGGTTGGGTTCCACATCCAGGATTACTGCCTCAACTTTGTGGACTGCTGCCAGCGGAGTTTGGGCTGCCGCGTGGACCGCAACAACCTGCTGGTGGAGCACGGCGGGCGCACTGTGCGCATCCGGCCGCTGCCCATTGGAATTCCTTACGAGCGTTTTGTGAACTTGGCAAAGAACGCGCCCAAGGTGCTGAAGACCTCCAATCAGCAGATCATACTGGGTGTGGATCGACTCGACTACACCAAGGGCCTGGTGCATCGCTTGATGGCCTTCGAGGCGCTGCTGCTGAAGTATCCGCAGCACAAGGAGAAGGTGAGCCTGCTGCAGATCTCGGTGCCGTCGCGCACCGACGTCAAGGAGTACCGAGAGCTGAAGGAGGAGGTCGATCAGCTGGTCGGACGCATCAACGGTCGCTTCACCACCGCCAACTGGGCGCCGATTCGCTACATCTACGACTATGTGAGCCAGGACGAGCTGGCAGCCCTCTATCGGGATGCGGCCGTGTGCCTGGTAACGCCGCTGCGTGATGGCATGAATCTGGTGGCCAAGGAGTTCGTTGCCTGCCAGATCAATGAATCACCGGGCGTCCTGGTCATTTCACCCTTCGCCGGCGCCGGCGAGATGATGCACGAGGCGCTGCTCTGCAATCCGTACGAGGTGAACGAGGCCGCGGAGGTCATCCATCGTGCCCTCACCATGCCAGAGGATGAGCGTGCGCTGCGCATGGCCCGTCTGCGACGTCGCGAGGCCGAGTGCGATGTCAGCCACTGGATGCGATGCTTCCTCAAGGCTGTGGGCGCCCTGGAGATGGATGATGTGGGCACCACCACCATGCAGCCCGTCTCTGTGGATGACTTTGACGACTACTTACTGAAGTGAGTCGTGTGGCTCAAACCAGAATTGTTCTCCGAACTAATCCTCGCCCGTTTTGCCCCACAGATACATCGGCTACAATCACAAGCTGGCCCTGCTGCTGGACTACGACGGCACCTTGGCACCGATTGCACCGCATCCGGATCTGGCCACGCTCTCGCCCGAGATCAAGAATGTCCTCTACAAGCTGTCCAATCACTCGGATGTCTATGTGGCCGTCATTTCGGGCCGCAACGTGGACAATGTCAAGAAGATGGTCGGCATCGAGGGCATCACATATGCGGGCAATCATGGCCTCGAGATACTGCATCCAGATGGCAGCAAGTTTGTCCATCCCATGCCCATTGAGTATGAGAAGAAGGTCAGCGATCTGCTGAAGGCACTGCAGGATTCGGTGTGCAAGGACGGCGCCTGGGTGGAGAACAAGGGGGCACTGCTCACATTCCACTACCGCGAGACGCCCAATCATTTGCGCGGCAACATGGTGGAGAAGGCGCGCTCGCTCATCGAGAAGTACGGCTTCCGGGCGACGGAGGCGAATTGCGCCCTGGAGGCGCGTCCGCCCGTGCAATGGAACAAGGGTCGCGCCTCCATTTACATTCTGCGCACATCCTTCGGCGTGGACTGGAACGAGCGCATTAAGATTATCTATGTGGGTGATGATCTTACCGATGAGGATGCCATGGTGGTACGTACGGGCAGAAGCCACTCCGCCACTCTGTGCATATGCATAAGCTTTAATTAATTATCTTTTAATCCATTTCCATCCCAGGCCCTCAAGGGAATGGCGAGAACTTTCCGCATTACCTCGTCGGACATAGTCAAGACAGCGGCCGATCATCGCCTGCCCTCAACGGATTCCGTTTACACGCTCCTCAAGTGGGTGGAGCGTCACTTTATGGGCCGTAAGGCGCGCGCCAATTCGCTCACCTACAGGCCCACCAAGGGCGACGGTGTGCAGATGCAAATGTCACTGGAGGTGGCAACGACGGCGAACAATCTGGATGTGTAATCTCATATACATACGCCCGAATTTGTGCCCTCATAGCTCTGATAACTTGTAAGATTTTAAGAATAAACAAAAACGTAAAATTGTAGCTTAAAAACAAACATTAACAATGGATTTTCGGGGGGGTTTTGTGTTTACTCTATGGAACGCTCACTTGTTTTTTCATTTCTTTGCTGATTAACTTAAACATTAAGCTACGAATTGGTTTAGTTATGGGACAAGACCAGCCACGATATGATAAAGAAGAACAGAAATATGGGATAGACAGCGAGCGGTTTGCGATGTGGCGGCTGACTCTGGCCCAGGAATATGAACGAAGCTGCAATGGAAAGCCAATCAATGGCAGATCAATCTATATGGCAGATCAGTAGCCCAACTCACCGTAGGTGGCCCAGGCAAAGCCCATGGTGGTGGTGACAAAGCGCAGAAAGAAGAGCAGCCGTGTCTGTTTGGACAGCAGAATGACGCGACAAACAATCAGGGAAATGGCCACTGGCGTTAGACAATAGCCCAATACGCAAACGGACTGAAAGAATGAGCTGCGTGTGCAAAAAGAGTGACAAATAATTACATATTTCTATAAAATTGTGCTAAGTAAATACACACATATTGCCACCTAGCAGCTTGGAGTTGAGTGTAACGATGGCAGCTCCTATCCAGACAATGACAAAGACCTGTGCAAACTCGGGACCATTGTCGGACATGCTGTCCGCGGAGGAGGAGCCCTGCAGTATGGTGGCCATAAAGGTGCACAGCACCAACGGACCCCACAAGTCCCCTAAAACGGCAACAAAAAGGTTAAGCCTATGAGTAATTTGCTTACGAATGCAATCGCAGGAATGCCCATGACGTACAATCACGCAACAGACTTGACTTCTCCTTCGGGTAGAGAACATGGTAGAACTTTACGCCCACCGCCCGTATATCCCTCAGCACTGTCTCCCTGATGGGCTCATCCAGTGTATTGTAGTCGGGCACTCCATTCTGGGCTGTTGTCGTAGTCGTTCGTTTGCCCGGTATGGACATGTCACCCTCTAGAGAGGACGATGGCGACGTGTTCACATCCTCGAACATCTGTGAAGTTATTGGAAATGTGTTAGGTGCCAAAGTAGCGACACTTTCCGTACTCACATCCAACTTGGCATCCATTCCAATGGTATTATTTTGTTAAATTTACGTTTTCGTGGACAAAAAAAAAGTGCGCCCAGCTGATTAGAGGTGTCAAACCATCGATGGCACTATCGATAGTATCGATGTTTTGCTGACGACGGTTTTGGATAGGGTTTCAGGATAGTATCAAGATACAGTTGTTGCGCTTTTGATATGTTTGGATTGGCTGCTCTGAAATACGAAGACAGGTGGCATCTAATTTTTACAATGGACAAGTTCCTAAAAGGTTTCAATGGTTTTTCAATAATTATTTGAGCCCGATACTATTGTTTTTTTCAAAACATTCAAAGCTATCGATTGCTCAACTGTCAATCGTTTGGCAGCTCTACAGCTGATGGTTCAATACCTAGGGTTGCATACATAGATGATGTATCGATATACATTTTATTGATAGTATATTTTGTCATTGATAATTTTTTGTTTATATTCTAACGGAAATTAAAGAGCCAAAACTATTAAAATGTACAATATAAATTATATAATAATTTTATTACAACGATAACATGTGGGACCAGTTCAAAGCAACAAATCCAGCAACAGTGTTACCCCCCCACTACCTTTTAAAACTACACATAAAATCCTTTAATTTATTTGCGTTTTTGTCAGTATGATTACACTTTTCGGAGACGTATTATGGGGACTACCACGAACAGGAGAAATAAATTTGCAAGCAACAACGAAATGGAGCACTTCAATTCGGCTGAGAAGATAATTGTGCCATTGGATAATCAAGTGGAAGATCCGTTCCTGGGGGAGGAGTTCGAATGGCTGTCGCAGTGGACTAAGCTGAACGCTGAAAATTTCGACGGTGAAGCAAAGAAAAGCGACACAAAGCCCACAAAATTGACATTGCACGTAAAAGATGTGATGAAGCAGTCCTCGATGTACAAGAAACAAATACATGAACTCAATTCACAAAATGTTTTCTTGGTCAAGGAAATGGATATTCTGAAAGATTTTGAGCAACAGATGGGCGATTTGCAGCTTTTAAGCTCGCAGAAGGAGCATCTAACTATTGAACGTGACGGTCTGCTGCTGCAGATAGAAGAGGCAAAGGAAAAGTGTGTAAAAGTTCTTCAAAAGCTGGAGGAGCAAGGCAAAACAATGCAGGAGATGAATAACCATTTTCACCGTGAACTTGCGGAGTGTGAGAGGCTGCGCACGGGTACGCTCAATGCTCTGGAGCACCAGGACAAAAAACATTTACTCGAAATGGAAAGGCTTGAGCAAAACCTTGAAAACAATTTTTCGGAGCTCAATACTTGCGCCCTTTGTGTGCGCCCCTGGGACTCGGATGGGGTGCATCGTTTGGTTTCGCTGGCCTGTGGCCATCTCTTTGGCGACAAGTGCATCCGGGATCATCTACGCCACGCTTTGTATTGCCCAATCTGTAAGCAGGCTGCACATGAACACAACCTTCGCTACATCTATGGGCGTAACATTTTTCCATATGAAAATTAACAAGAACAAAATTATCAGTTGAAATATTGAATTTAATATATAATTTTTAAAAACGTAATATCTATGCTGTTTGAGAAAAAAATCATTTAATTACAAGACTAACAATGTTAGAGGGTCAGAACAAAGCTTAAGATTTTTGTTTTATTTCTGTTCCTTATGCAGGCATAGATACGAGAGCAAAACTGCAAAAAAAATGCAGAATATGCATATCCAATATGGAAAAACTTATTTCTGCACAGCTAAGTTTGTATACCCTTTCATTTGATTTGCCTGCTTTATTTTAAGTCGAGAGTCTGCTGGCTTCTGATATATTCAGATTCCAGAGTCTAAAAATCACCCGCACGTCAAATTATAATCTGACGGTGTCTAGAAAAATTATTGGGATGCGTCCTTACCAACATATGCTCATAATCGGAATACCCTACCTACAGTACCCCGATGAAATCCAACACCAGTGATAACCCATCGTTTTCATTTTTCTAGCTTTTGGCAATACAGCTACACTTTTTGCAAAAGTATTCTGGGGACCCACCACGAACAGGAAACATTTAATTTTCAAAGCATTTGCACAGAAATGGAGGGCGCTAATTCGGCTGAGAAGATTCCTAATCACTTGGAAGATCCGTTCCAGGCGGAGGAATTCAAATGGTTGTCGCAGTGGACTCAGCTAAACGCTGAACAATTCGACGTTGAAGCAAAGGAAATCGACGAAAAGCGCTCAAAGTTGTTGTTGCACCTAAAAAATGTGCATAATGAATTAGATATCGTAAAGGCGAACTTCAACGAGTTGACTAGAGCAAATGGCGAATTGAAGAGCAAAATCCCTGCAAATCTGCGTGAAGATTTCGAGAAGCAGATATACAAGCTGCAGTTTGTGCAGCTGCAGAAGGAACAACTAACCATTGAACGCGATGGTCTGCTGTTACATTTGCAGCAAGAGGAAGAGAATTATGAAAGTATTCTTCAAAAACTGGAGGATCAGAGCCAAACAATGGCGCAGATGAACAAGGAGTTTCAGCGTGAAATTTCCGAGTGTAAACGGCTGCGTGGAGAAACTCTCAGTGCGCTGGAGCAGCAGGAACAAAATCACTCTCTCGAAATGGTTAAGCTAAAGCAAACTATACGCGAAAAAAATCTGGACGACGTTACTTGCTCCATTTGTCTCTGCCCCTGGGAGTTGGTTGGCGTACACCGCTTGGTTTCGTTGGCCTGTGGCCACATATTTGGCGCAGAGTGCATCTCGGCCTGCTTAAACCGTATGGTAGAGTGCCCCATATGCAGGAAATATGCACATCCCCAAGATATACGCTTTCTCTATGATCGTAACCATTAATAAAATATGTAAGTGCATGTGGTGGACATAATAAATTTGTATATTCTCAGAAATTTCGTTTCGTTTCTTTGAAATGGGGTGGCTGGGGGTGTCATTTGTGTCTCCGCGAAATATGGCAATATGTACCAAACATGCTTTGGCCACACTGTGGCGAACAGCTGATTGGCAAAAATACAAAAAAAAAACTCCAAATCCGAAACAAATGAGAAAAATATAGAAACGATGATATAGACGGCAGGCGATTACTTAAAGTGCATCCGAATGCGAAAAGCCACTCGCAGCGGCTTACGGAAAAAATGCAGCGGAAGCAGTCCGGCATCGACCCGGCATGCAGCACCGCCTTCGAGGCGGCGGACCAGCCGCACCACCACGGCCTCAGCACAAAGATAGCGCTGCGGCGTCTATACGAGGAGATTGAAAAAGTTCTGCTGGAGCATGAGCAGCACTACGGGGCGGAGAGGTGAGTCGAGACCGACAAATGTAAGCCAGAAAGCTAATTTCTTGAATTTTGTAGCTGCTATCGGAAGTTGCGTGCGGCCTTCGTGAAGCGCTATGACAGTCCACTGGGCTGGCTGTCCATTGGTGCCAGTTTGCTGACAAGCGGAGCGCTGCTTATCACCGGCATGTTGTGGCCCGCGATCTGTTTGCTGGCTATCTTATCGCTGGACTTCTTCGTGGTCATCCGAGAGAACAATTTGCGACGCACGGAGATATTCCGCAAGACGCGCTACGCCCTCGCGGAGCTGCAATTGGCGGAGCAGCATTTCAGCGACGACTGGCAGCAATCCAATTATCCTCACCTGAGTAATCCAATGTCGCCGTGCGTATCCCTGCAGTGGACCTATCGCGACGGCATCCTCGTCAACCTGCCATGGGCGCTGTTGGTGCGCGGCGATTGCATTGTGCTGCGACCTGGACACATATCACCCGGCCCCTGTCATGTGCTGGAAACAAGCAAATGCTTCGAGGCGAATGAAATCTACGGTGCGGCGCCCATGGGGGATCCACCTGTTAAGCCAATGGCGCGTCCACCGCTGCCCAATCTCGTGTGCTGCTTGGAGAGTACGCCGTATCTGGAGAACTTGAGCATTTGCCTAAAGAACTCGCTAAAGCGACCGCCAACAATCTACAATCAGCAGCGCTATCTGGTATGGAAAAAGATCAAACCAAAATACAAAAAAAAATGTTTGAAAAACGTTTTAATTTGTAATTTTAGCTGGTGACCAAATACATTCAACAATGGGGCTTCATCAGTGCCCTGATCATCACTCTCATATCGGGAATGCTGCGCCTGCATGGCTATGGACTGCCCACCGACGAGAAGCACAATTGGCGCTTTGTGCTCATCGAGTCGCCTGCCGCTGCCATAATTCCACTGCTGCCACTGATCTTCCCGCTCATGTGGATATCCATGAATCTGTGGGGCGTTGCCCGGCTGCAGTGCTTCCTCAAGACGCCGCAGGCTGCCTTTGAAAAGAGTACAACAAAGTCGTTTGAAGAGGATCTCGACTCGCCCTCGTGTAACTATGAGAACATATCAATGCTGCGCTCCAATGTGCTGCGCATCTGGATGCAATTGTGGAAGGGGGACAGCGAACTGTTGCCCCGTTCGGCTAATCTGGTGCAGGTACTGGGCTCCATTTCGGCGCTCTGTTGTGTGGACAAAAAGGGCATATTGTCGTGGCCCAATCCCACTGCCGAGAAGGTCTTCTTTCTGCACAACACCGACGAGGAGGCCCACGATGATGGGGCGCGCAGTCAAGCTTCCACACAAAGCGAAAGCGATGATGTGCCCATTGTTGATGAGGATCACAAGGAGGGTGGCATTGTCGCCGAGGTATTGGATCTAACGCATGACCAGCACTGCCCCTTTCGTCTGGAGTTCGATGATCATGAGTGGAAGGCGCACATTAAATCACTCAAACCGCTGGGTGAGTGATGGCAAATTTCTCAATATTCAGCGGTTTTCTTTAATTTAAAACTAATTACAGGCCTGGCCATATTGCTGAACACCTGCTCGCCGCTTACCCATGAGCATTATGCACAGTTCTGTGGACATGTTACCGCTGTGGCGATGCTCGACAAAGATTTGGTGCCCGTGACAAATCGGTATGCAAATGCGTATGCACTCATTGAATCCAGTAAAAGCTTTTTGCATGGGTACGTAGTTCATAGCCCATTTCGCACATACCATTTTTGGTTTTCTTTCTGCCTAACCAAACAACACACAGAATATACAAATTGATTATATTACCAACCATATAAATATGCATATATATAAAGTTTAATGATTTTCTCCAAACAAACAAAAAAAACAAACAAAAAAACGGTATGCTTGCCCAGAAATTAGGCTTCGTTTTGTTTGATTTTTGACTCCAATTGGATGTACTTTCCCACCCCCACCAACCCACACAATGTTGCAAAGCGATTGGTAAAGTTTTTATGCGAAATTATATTTTTGATTTTACAGTAACGTCCGCAAGTGTATTTAAAATAAATATTAAAATTATTATTAGCCGATTATCATTGCACCCATTCGAGCCTTAACACATCAAACCTTGAAATCTTTGCTGATTTTGTTGCTATTTTCGTTTATTTTTACTTTCAAAACGACACCCACTCATCCTTGGCCTCCTCTTTCCACGTTTCCCATTTGGCATGCTATTTTAAGTAACAAACATTGAAATTATAGTTACGTACCCGTACCCCATGCCACTTCGTTATGCTTGCCTGCCTGCATCCAGCTTGTACCAGTTTGGGGCCAGTACTAATCGGTTTCTCTGTTCCCATTCGTTGCCAGACGCTGCCTGTGCGAGCTGGCCAAGCAGATTGGCTTCACCGATCATGCCACTGATCGTTTTGCGCTGGAGGGACAGCTGGCCAGCTACAGGCATTTGGTAAGCAAAAGCAAACCCTCTTGGGACCCTCAACTAATGGAATTTCCCTGTCTTTTTCCATAGCAACCCGATGTGGTGCGTCGGGACATACGCTTTGCGCGACAGCTGCAGCTGTCGTCCAAGGTGAAGGTGCCATTTCCGCATTCGCTGTCCGTGGTGATGCGCGAGAATCCGGGCGGCTATCTGTCGCTCTTCACGCAGGGCACCGCGGACATTATTCTGGACTGTTGTGACGATTTCTGGAATGGCCAGGACCTGCACCCGTTGTCGCCGCAGGACCGCAAGCGTGCCCTGGACTTTTATCAGCGCAGTGCGCTCACCTCCTACTGCACAGCCTTCGCCTATCGGCCGCTGCGGCATGGCATTCACGGGGCCCTGAGCGGTCCGCAGCAGAGCGGCGGCGAGTGCTTGTACCTGGAGCTGCCGCCCGAGTCGAAGCTGCGCATGCAGCACGTGGACAAGTTACACTGCGACTTCCAGGGCGGGCATCATGTGAAGCTGAGCCACAGCATCAGCACGGACTCGCTGCTGTTCTCGGAGCACAAGGACGAGGATTGCAACGATGTGGAGGGCTGCTTCGAAATGCAATGCCACCAGGTGTTCATCGGCATGGTCACGATGCAGTACCAGGCCCAGAATGACATTGTGCGGCTGGTGGAGCGCCTGGAGCGTGCGTGCATTCGCTTTGTACACTTCAGCAAGGAGAACGAGCTGCGGTCGCGCGTCTTTTCCGAGAAAATGGGCCTCGAGTCCGGCTGGAATTGTCACATATCGCTGCTCAGCGAACCAGAGCCGGAGATTGAGAAGGATAGGGAGAAGGAGAAGACAAACTCTCGGGGCATTTCACCAAAAAACCCTGGTAAAAATCCACAAAAAGCCACCACAGAACCTGCCACCACCACTGAAAGCACAGCCGATTGTGTGGACGATGCCCATGCCCATAACACTCATCCTCAATGTGCCAAAGTCATGTACATATCGCCTCCCGCATCCGCATCCGCACCCAGTCCCACACCTGCATCCGAAACCGAAACCAAAACCACAGCACCCGCAAATGAGGCAACAGCCTCGTCCATTGCTAAACCCACTGATATTGTAGGTGACGCCCCTGGTGCTGCTGCTGCTGCTGCTGCTGGTCCGGATGTCAGCTATCTGCTCGGCCCGCCCACCAACTTGGAGTCCTCGAAAACGCTCAGCTCTTCGGCGCCCGGTGCCATATCCAATCCGGATGAGTGCAATCCATTGAATGCGGCTCTGAGGTCTGAGGACGCTGGGGATGCAGTCGATGCTGGAAGTGGGGAGAACTCGGAGAGCTTGCAGCACATGGAGCTGTCTGGCGGCGGCGGCGGGGAACTGGAGACGGAGACCAGCGATCCCAATCGACACAAGCAGCGACACTCGCTGGACTCGGCCATGGATGAGAACTGCCGCTCGCTGAGCACCCTCACGGAGAGCACCGATCAGAGTGCGCCCATCAATTTTGACATGTCGAACCGGGCCAAGCTGCCGCGCGGCATTGAGAACATTCGGCCCCATCTGGAGCAGGTGGACAATGTGCCGCTGCAGGTGTCGCTCTTCACGGACTGCTCGGCGGAGGCCACGCGCCAAATGCTCGACATTATGCAGTCCTATGGCGAAATTGTCGTCTGCTTGGGCAGCTCGGCCAGCAATGCGAATGCCGATATCTTCTTGCAGGCTGATTGCAGCATTGCCGTGGAGCCACTCTATCCGCAGGTGTGTCAAGACGTCGACGCCTACACGGAGGCGAACCTACAGCACAACAAGTGGCTCTGGCAGCGTCAGGCCGACAAGGGCAAGGCTGCCGACGATGAGCAGCTGCTGGAGTGCGGCCTCCATGGGGCCGGGGCACGTGCCATGCAATCGCCAGCGCATACTGTCTCCCCGCTGTATCTGAGTCGTCTGCTCAACTCGCTGCCCTGCTCGATAGCCGTCTGTCGGGACGACCCACTTTCGTTGGTGGCCATAATTGAGCTGTCACGCCGCTTCTCGCTGGGCCTGTGGAACTGCATACAGTATTGGGCCTGCTGTGCGGGCACCATATCCATTATGAATGTGCTGTGCGCGTGCCTCTCACTGCCGCCGATCCTCACGCCCCTGCTGTCCATCTATCTGATGTCTGTGCCCGTGCCGCTGATTGCCATCTCGTTGGCCCACATCGATGTCGATCCCAAGATAATGAATCGAGCGACCAGCAAGAAGCAAACCGACTATGATACGCGCGCTTTTGCATTTGTTATGTGGTGCTATGGCTGCAAATTTCTCGTTCCCATTATATCGCTGGTAAGTGATGGGGAGGAGTTTACTTTTGCTCTGGACTCTGTTCATTGTTTGTCTTTCGCACAGCTCGTTACCTACTGGATGTGCCTAGCGCAGTCTAGCGTCAGTCCACAGCTCACTGCAGAGGAGCAGCTTCAGGTTGGCGACGACGACGACATCGCTGACGTAGACAATGATGCGAATTTCTATCAATTTCTGTACTTGGCACGCAGCTGTGCCTTGCTGGCGATACTCCTGCACTTTGGTAAGCAATTTATCTACTTTTTCTGCCGTAGAGTCGTGGCGACTGCAGCGACTCACAACGTTCCCTCTCGTTTGCTTTAATTGTTTGTTTTTTTTTTTGGTAGCTTGCATCTCCATTACATTTGTGCATCGCGATCATGCAATTTGGCAGCGTAATCCATTTACCAATCGCATTTGGGCCCTCACCTGTCTGGGTCTGGTGATTTTCCATTTGGCCATTCTGTCCTTACAACTAGCACTGGATGACTTTCTACAGCAACAACTGCCGCAGCTCTGGATGCCCATGCTGGTGCTATATGGCACGGGCCTGCTCAGCTGGATTATCAGCGAACTGGCCAAGTTTCAGGAGAACAAGTGGGTGACACAAATAATTAACTGAATTAATATTCAATTAATATATTTCCCCGCAAACAGAGTTAATGCGCGCTATCAGCGTCGTGCGCGTTTGGATTTTGGCACCAAATTGGGCATGAATTCGCCCTTTTAGATCGCCCCCACCCCCCACATGTACTTAGTGCCAAGGCTGTATATACACCACGTTGGATACGCTTTTCTTGTTTTAATTAACCCTTAGGATACTTGATTTTTGTGTTAGCAGCATCTGTTTGATTCGTTTTTAGCTGCGGCCTTGTACTTTCATTCAGTTTTTTTACTTTTACCGACTAGCCTTTCCAGCTTGTTTATTTTTGTTGTGTGACACCCCGAACCGCCCCCAATCGAACACCTTTTATGTTCTTGTTTCGTGTTGCCCCTCTCTGGCCACTCTGTGTGTACTAACATTTAAAAAAGACTTTGCAATTACTGTATGAAATATATACCTACATATATGTATATCTATGTGTATATCTGAAAAAAATAAAAGCCAACGCAACTCAATCTTTAAACAAGTAAAAGTAATGCGCGTTTTTTGTATGGTACGCCGTGAAAGTGGCAACGAGAGCCTTGGCATTCTGTAAGCATTTCTTCCCTAGAACTGGTTCCCGTTTTGGATATGGCATTAAATTGAGATGTGAATGAGCGAAGACAACAGCATAGAACACGCCCCACAAGGTGCTAATCGGAAGAGACACGTTGCAACGCGGCAATTGCCGGGAGTTTCTGCTGACCCACATCCACATGGCATGGCAGTGTGCGTGTTGACAAATTTCCGACTAGAAATCTATACATTTGGGTTACGCACAACACTTACGCAGTTAGGCAATTAAATGGTTATAAACTAAATGAATGGGCAGGGAATATATATTTAATATATATAATAAATTCTCTGCTGCAGCGAGCCACTCTTGGGGCTACAAAAATGTTACTAATTAGCTGCCAGATATGTTGGCACACGCCTGGACCAGACAAATAAGCAGTCGCCAAAGCAGAGCCATCGACTTGGGCGGGTTACATGTGAAGCTCTGCTGGCAGAGCAGTTCCGTGCTCAGGAACTTTATGTATAACGGAAGATGGTGATCAGAAATGTGGAGTAACAATTGATTAGCACCTGCAGCGACGTCGACGAAATGAAAGTGCTGCTCTGCCTGGCTGCCTGGCTGCTTGCCTGCCTGCCTGCCTGCCTGCCATACCCGTGTACTATAGCAGTATATAGATCACTTCTAGTAGCACCTTTTGGCCAAGGGGCCCGGTAACTGGGTCATGAAAAAACGAAATCACGAACTCTGGTCTCCCCGCGCAGATACCCAATAAAACCAATCCAACTGAAGTTCTTTGTGGTATTCGAGAACTTCGCGCGACGCGATACGGTAGCATATCGGAGCTCTCCAAAACCAGTGGATATGACGTGTAAATAGGCACCGAGAACCACTTAATATTAGAGGCTAAGTGTGGAAATTAATAGTGAAAATCCTGAAGTGTGCTACAGATACAGCAGATACCTCCCCCAAGCCAAACCAAATTCAAGCATGCGTGTCGCAGGCGCTGCTGGGCGGGTGCCGTGTCTGGCGTGTCTTGTCCTTCTGTTGGGCTGTGTGCAGGTGCGTGGATACTCGCAAGTGCTGATCAGTGGCGATCAGGGACCACGGATATTCAAGGCTCTAAATACGGATCTGATATTCCCGAAAACGTAAGTGTAATCCGGGATCAACCCAAAGGGACTCTGACTTCCAACTCGATCCTCGAACAGCTTCAACTCCAGTGAGAATGTATACTCCACCACTGAGGCGCCAGTGCCGACTTCAAGCAGTACAACACTGATGCCGCCCATTCCCTATAACCACCAACCGGAGACGCTTGCGGTGACAGCCAGTTCGCCCGTGTTTGTCACTCCCTTGGCAGCGACCGAAGAGCAGGAGCTGCAGCCCGTGGCGACCAAAGAGGAGGAGCTGCAGCACGTGGCGCCCAAAGAGGAGGAGCTGCAACCCTTTGCGAGCAAAGAGGAGGAAGAGGAGCTGCAGCACGTGCCGAGTATCGAAGGTGCCTCGACAGGCCGTGCTGTGGATTATCGCACGGCCTATCCGTTCGGGCAGCTGATAACGCCACTGCTAAAGGGCCAGCAATACGGCGGCCGACCAGCACAGACTCGCATCTATCCGCAGGGCAGTCCCTCGTACTACTCGTCCTCCTCTGCATCACGGAACCCCGGTCGCTATCCAGCCAAGAAGCCCTCCTATAAGCAAAGTATGTGGGCATCCTTTGAGACTCCAGGCTCAGTTTGTTGAACCACTTTTTGGTTTTTACAGGCATCAGGGATCGCTTCACACCCGGTGAGAGCACTGCCGCTGGTCTCTTCAAGGGGCACAACCACAATCACAACCACGATCACAGCCACGATCACTCCCATGGCGCACAGGATGGCAAGGTTGCCTCTGGTTCGAATGCTGTACCTTCGTATGTCCCACAAGGGGATGCCTACTCCTTTCCGCCACTGAACACAAAATATCCGTCGCCCGGGCAGGACCCGAAGGCGGCCCTGCCATCCGATACCGTGACAAGCTATTTGCCACCCGCATCGGGTGGCCTGAGCAACGCTGGCTACGCCTATCCGGGCCCACCAATGCCCGCGTCCACGGGCTACAAGTACCCGGGGCCTGTGGCGGGTGGTGGTAATGGGGACAAGGATGCAGCTGCCAGCGCAGCAGCTCCGGCAGCAGACGATGATCCGGGAAATGATGATGTGATTGGCGTATTGCCCGCCAGTGCCATGGACGATATGCCCACAAAGGATCAGCAGGATGGCAAGGGTGCGGGGGATGCCGCTGACGCAGGGCCTGCCAACGGTGGCGGCGATATGGGTCCGCCTGCAGATGCTGCAGACGATGGCGGGGGTAACGATGATACAGGACCTCTTCCTGCCCTTCAAAATGACGGGTCGCATGGAAACGACGATCACAAGTATGATCCCAGCATGGAGTACGCGACTCCACCACCGGGATGGCTGGAATCCCACCCCGAATCGGCGGCACCAAAGCCGGAAGATCATGATCATGATCACGATCACGATCACGGACACGATCATGATCACATACCCGACCATCACGATCATTTTCACGGCCATTATCCAGGACACTTCGATTATCCATCCGCCTCCTATCCGGACGACACCTATCCGGAAGTTATCTACGATGATCATCCGCATCATCATCATCACGTTCACCACCCACCGCCGCCGCCGCCTCCACCACCGCCACCACCACCTCCGCCAACAGAGCCCCCGCCACCACCACCGCCGCCAGAGCCACGTGTCAAAAAGTACAGTTACTTCTACATTGGCCGCAAGCTCTGGTATATCCCGCTGTACTTTACGGTGTGGTTCAGCTTCTACATTCTGTGGCTGATCATCAAGTCCATTGGACGGCACAAGGTCAACTTGCCGAATCACTACGTTTCGCGGCGCAGTGCGCCGGACTACTTCACCGAACAGGGGCGTGATGAATACATCAATAATCTGACAGTTAAGGTGCTCGAACACATAGATAGCTTTAAGCACAAATACTTGAACTGATAAGGGGACTCTACAAATTATTTGTCGGCTAATAAAAAACATAATTTAATTTAAAAATTATTCTTTTTTTGAATTTCAACTGTGAACTGCCTGCTGATTGTCTATCGGCTATCGATAGGTCGGTATGGTTTTTGTATTTCCCAGGGATGGAATTTTAATGCTGTTGGTATTTCCACGCTTCTCTTCTACAAGAAACCCAATCAAAAATAGTTCTGAAAACTAGCTAATCCTGAGTGAGTGGCTGAGTGGGCCAACTAGCTAGTAATATTAAGCTGAATATCAAAATCATGGAATACGATTTATATCAATATAATATAACATTATCCCATTGTCGACCGGGGGGGTATTTAATATTTCCACGAAATTTATGTAATTTTAACATATTTTACGCATTACAGGTGAAAGATGTCGGTGGTCATTTTGTAAGTTTTGTAGGTAAAGAGGAGGATGGAGCTACAAGGATCCTTTACAAACAGTATTATTATCCGCGGTTTAACAATGGATGCGCAACTTTTTAAATACAGGGGTGTTCAGTGGGTTAAGTCTCGATTGATCGCCGGATTGCCCTGGTTTTTCTGCCCTGGCTCATACATACGAAAACAAAAATTTAATTGTGACTTCGAGTTAAAATGTGTGGAAAGTGTTCAATTAATTAAGTATCACTTAATACAGAGCCGAGTGTCTTGCTCCGGGCAAAGCGAGCCAAAGACTGCCTGTGCTGCCAGCGACGAACGACTGGCACTGGCACTATTTTCGTAGTGTCACAATTTGTTTATGTTTTTACTTTATTCGCATTAATTGGATATAAAAACTCTCCAAGATGTCGTACATGCTACCACATTTACACAATGGCTGGCAAGTGGACCAGGCCATACTCTCCGAGGAAGATCGTGTTGTGGTGAGTGTTTACCGGGCAAATTGTGCCTCCAATCATTCACACTGTGCTCCACCCCCCGCAGGTTATACGCTTCGGCCACGATTGGGACCCGGCGTGTATGAAAATGGACGAAGTCATGTACAGCATCGCGGAAAAGGTGAAGAACTTTGCAGTGATCTATCTGGTGGACATAACCGAGGTGCCGGACTTTAACAAAATGTACGAATTGTACGATCCCTGCACGGTGATGTTCTTCTTCCGGAACAAGCACATCATGATTGATTTGGGTACCGGCAACAACAACAAAATCAATTGGCCGCTGGAGGACAAGCAGGAAATGATTGACATTGTGGAGACGGTGTATCGAGGAGCGCGAAAGGGTCGCGGTCTGGTCGTTTCGCCCAAGGATTACTCCACCAAGTACAGATACTAAGGCTGCTCAGTATCTAAGCTTAGATTAATGTTCGAGTACCATCTTTAGGCATAACAAATTCAACCAAAATACATACGAAATCCAACGACTTTTGTGTATATGTATTTTCTTCTGGTTTATTTTTTCACTTGTCACATTTTCTCATTAATATCGCTAACATTTACATAAATTTTCTTCTTTTTTTTCATATATATATATATGTATGTATATATATAACATTTAACTAAGTTTTTTTTTTGGTTTTCTTTTTCAATAGCTCGTAGTTTTTAAAAAATTTTAATTCTTTCGTTAAAGTAATCCTTTTTGCATTAATATTTCTGCGTTTTGTAATTAGTTACTTATAATTTTCGTTTTGTATTGATTTTGAATTGCTTTCATTTACCAATTTGATCAAGTTGAACAGAGCTACAAAACATATAATACGCGTAGAATATATTAGTATGGAAATCAGATCGGGACAGTGGCTAGAGTCAAAGATTTGTCGGTTGGTTGTTAGTACAAAAGTATAAAAGAAAATGTCGCAACGAAAGTGAATCAAAGTTATATTTTAGTAGCTAGTCAATCTGTGTATATAAATTGTTCGAAATTCGCTAACTGAACATTCAACATTTTGTCGTCATTATGCATTACATTTCTTTGCTTTGCTTTTCTTTTTTTTTATTGTTCATTTAATACAACAGCTCAGTTTTTAATTTCATTATGCTTAGATTTAACAATTGGTTCCGCTACTCATTTATCTTATACAAGTTAGGTTTTTGCGCATTAAATGTATTACATATGTGTATGTATGTATTTATTTGTATAATTAGCTACGTTTATTAGTTTTATATTTATATATTTGCTCATTTGGAAACAAATCAACGCTACAAATTACAATATTTTCGAACCTTCATTTTAACCTCTTACAATTTTCGATCTTCAGCATTTAACCAACAATTAGATTTTCGTTTTCTTCCTATATATAGTATATGTATGTATATATTTTTTGATATACTCGGTACCATTTTAATTTCGCAAATTTTTAATACCATTTCCTAGGCGCGCCATTTTCATTGTACAAAATACTCACTAGTTTTGTTTAAAAATATTCAAATAGGGCTGGCTCTGGCTCGTTCTATACATCTGTATGTATGTATGTATGTAGTATTGGTTGTATATAAATATATACTCGTACTTATGCATAGGAAAGGTACAAATTAGGCATCAGGCTGAGGCTTCAGGCATGTGAGAGAAAGTCTCTAGAGTTTCGTTTCTAGCGGTTCCTTTGGGTTGTTTTTTTCCTTGGTTTGTTGTCATAATTCAGTTCTATTATACAATACAATACAATTAATTGTTGTATTCCCCCAAACAAACTGTGTATGTATTTTGATTTGAATAATACAAGTTTGATTTGATTTGTATTCCACATGACGACACATTCATTCCGTTTGCTTTCGCTCAACTCTCGCGAGCAAATGCAGTTTCATAGAAAAATAGAGATGCGTAGGTGGGATGAGTTAGGAAATTGTTTATATATATGTATATGTATGTAAGTATTTGTATATACTTTGGTTTTAAATTTATATTCGCTTTTGTAACACTATTTTCTGACAACAACTCTATTTTAATACCAACAACAATTTTTGTGTTCGAATAGGCCAGGAGGAAGGAGATGTGGAAATGTTCCTACAAAATTCTGCAGACATATCAGGCATTTTTCTGTTTTTGAGTAGAGTTCCCTTAGGCTTTGATCGGTCAGATCGGTACATTCAGTTTGCAAAAAGATCGTTGAAATGTTGTGTTCTCGTCGTGCAATCTATTTTTAATATTCTAATTTACAATACTTTAAGTATTTGGCTGCTGTTTAAGACACTAGAAGAGTTTTCATTCCATTTCAGGGATAGAAATACAGATACAGATATAGAGATAGAGTTAGAGATAGACTGATATCTGATCTGGCTGCTGGCGATCGATATATGTATCTATAGAAATATATATGTATATATAAACTTTAATCTCATCTCGTCTATAGATGAACATAGTGTGAAAAATAAATCCGATTATCACTACTTAACTTACACAATCCTATTAACAATAATAGACAACAGTCTCTAAGTACGAATACATTGTTGCGTTGCTTTGCTGCTCTTAATCTGCCTTCATCCACAAGATATATTTATGTATATAGAAGCTACTGTAGCTCCGTCAGTCCAGTGCCGACGCGGAGTAACCCAGAAACTAGCTTAATACTGTGACTAAATGCGCTTAAACTAATCTCCCTTCGATCCTGCTTAATAATGCCTAAATACTCGTCAATACTCGCGTGTTTCATGGTGGCTGGTTGACCGGTCCTGAGCAACCCAGGAAATTGGCTGCCGCCAGACCATGCCGCAGTGAAAATCTCTCCCTTAGGAATGGACAAACGTTTGAAGAGGAACAAGGAGGTGGAGTATAAAGAATTCTTCAGCTAAAGGATAATAAAGGATAAATATATGTACAGCAAAGGGAATTTTTGGCATAGAAACTTTGTTGAGATTTAAAGACACAAAAAAGAGTAGGAAACTATTTAAAAGAAAATATAGTTCTGAATGAAATGAGCACCTGTAAATGGGAAATTCTAGTAGAATTAATCTGTGGAATAGGTGCACCGCCTGGAAGACATTTTCACTGTGTTCAACTGGCCATCGCCATGCGTACAAAAGTCGTTTGCTAAGCTCTTAAATACTGGCCCGGTCCACGGAACTGCATGCGTACCAGCAGCGGATGCCCACTGGGCTAGAAGAGTGTTTCCCTGGACCATTTTCTGGAAGTGCCGGGCAGGCTGGGATCGCGCTTATCCTCGCCAGTCTCCCCCACAGCCTCCTCGTTGTCATCGTCATCGTCGTCGTCCTCATCGTCGTTTGGCAGCCTGATCAGGGGAAGCTCTAGCATGACGGCGGGCGTCGCAGTCGCAGTCGTTGTAGTGGTGATGGTGATGGCTCCTCTGGCACCCATCTCATTGCTGGGCAGGCTTAGGTTTGTGGCACTTTTGCTGATGCCAGCGACAGTAGCTGTAGCAGCAGCCGCAGCAGCAGCAGTGCCGCCCTTTCGCAGTATCAGATCCTTCAAGGAGGCGGGCACACAAATGCTCTGTGGGCGTGTGGCTAGCACCGAATCGGACTTGGAGGAGGGGCAGGGATCGGCATTGGGATTGGGATCGTGCACCAGTCTACAGTTGAGTGGCAGTTGAGCTGGCTGCTGTGCCGTAGCCACGGGGGCCTGTGCACACGCATAGTTATTGTCCAACCGGGGACTTGTGGCGGCGCTGGCACTGGGACTGGGACCGGGACTGGCACTGGGACAGGGACTGGGACAGGGACTGGGTGTGGAGCGACCCACGCTGATCACCGTATTCATGCTGCTGTACTGTGTGTGGGTGTTGGACTCGCCGCCGCCGCCGCCGCCACCACCAGCCACTGCATCCAGCAGTCCCAGCTCCGTGTTGAGTGTGGAACAAGTGTCATCCTCCGTGGTGGTGGTGGTGGTCGTTGTCGTTGTCGTGGGCAAACTCTGCGGATCGCTGTACTGCTGCAGCAGCGGTCCCCGACGCGGTGGACTGTGGCTCACAATGGCGCCAAAATGCGTCTCGAGCGGCACCACCACCGCCGCAGCCGCCGCCGCCTCGGCAGTCACTGGCAGCACATGGCCCTGTAGCTGTTGCAGCGGCAATCCCGGCCCAGTGTGCGGCCCAATGAGGGACACACGATCGCTGGCAGCGGTGCAGATGCTTCGATGGCGCTGCAGCAGCGGTCGACGTGGCCGGGCGCCCGTCCCTCCAGCAGCCACGCCACCCAGGCTCATCCGCTTCAGCGCCATCGCCTGGGGCATGGGATTGGGCTGGCCACTGCTGACCTGCACGGATGATGTGCCCTGGCCCTGGCCCTGGCCCTGACCCTGACCCTGTGCCGCTGCTGATTTAGCTGCCGCTGCGGCAGCTGCCTCGATGACTGCCTTGGCCACGGCCTGCTCCTCGCTGTCGCTGCTCAACTGCTGCATATCGTCGTCGGTGTCTGCAGGACTCTCCAGCCCGAACACAGAGTCCTCCTCGAGGGAGCGCAGCTCGGAGTCGGGGCACTCCAGCGAGGAGATCTTAAAGGAACTTAGTGAGGCGAGTGGCGCCCTTTTTTCGGCATTTCCATTGGCATTCGGCGGCACCTTGGCCGACACCGAAATGGTCCCCAGGCTGAGACTGCCATTCAGGCGATCCAAGCTCACGGGTGTACTGTCCACGCTGATGCTGCTGGAGGTGGCCACTGTGCTTGTACCCCCACCCCCGCCCCCAGTCGTACTGGCAGGTTCCGCTGCATTGGCCGTATACGGGAAACTGTTGTTGTTGCTCTCGTTCCGCTGCAGCTCGACGAGCGTGAGCTTTCGCCGCACGCCCAAGCGCAGCTCCTCCGACGGCGAGTCACAGAAATGGAAGGCCTGATGGGCGCCGGTGGGCGGTGCCGATTGAATGGGCTTGGGCAGCGGCAGTCCCAGATCCACGGTGTCCACGAGCGCCGCCGCCTGATTGTAGGGATACACGTCCACGGTGTCGGCGCTGATCGAGTGGATCTGCTGCTTGCGTCCCGCCTGGGCGCTGTCCGGATCGTAGGAGACAATGCTGTGCTTGCGCCTGACGCTGGGCGCACTCAGGCCCGTCGTGGTGGCCATGCTCGCGGGCTCGTGAACGCTGCGCTCCGAGGGGCAGGGCGAGGCCTTCGGCGTGGGCTGTATCACCTGGATGTCCGGGTAGTAGTAGTCCCAGTTCTCGATGCTCGATGTGCGCGACGCTGTCGATAGCTTACGCTGCAGCGTCGGCGGCAGATTGCTCATGCCCAGCGTGTAGGCGGAGGTGCGACGCTCCAGGTAGGAGCTGTCTGTGCTGCAGCAGGTCATGGCACTGCTGCGTCTGGAGTCGTGACCCTAAGCGAGAGAACCAAGGGCAGGGGTTTATAATCTGGACTCTTTTCCAGTGGGTTTTTTTTTTCGCTTTTTCGTTGACTCACCGTCATGGGTACGGACAGAAATCCCTGCTTGCTGCGCGTCGAATCCGTGCGCTGATGATGCGGGTGTTCCGGCTCGTCGCGTGCATCCCTCTGCATGTACTCCTCGTGCTCCAGCTCGTCCTCGGTCTCCACAAAGTAGTCGTCGGTGCCGAAGCTGCCGCCCATTGGGTAATTGCTGAAAATGCGCGACGATTCGGAGCCGCTCTTGCGGCGTCCTATGGGGCCCGGCGGACCACCGCCCGCGGACATGGCCGAGTAGGAGAAGCGTCGCGGTGGCTCCAGCAGATAGCTATAGCCCACGGGCACACCAGCACCAACGCCACCTGAAATTAAAGCACGTGGAATCAGCCATTGAGTGGAGGAGACCAACCCCCCCTGAGGATCCCACTTACCCACGGAACCGCAACGATAGCCTCGATTCAGCAATGGTGGGGCGCTCACATTGCCCAGCGAGAGCATCCGCTGGCGGCGGTACACCATGGCATCGTACTCATCCGGATATATGGACATGCCCGTGGCCACAATGGCCTCCTGGATCTCGCGCTCCTCCTCCTCCTGCATGCACAGGGAGGCCACTGCCGCCATCTTGGGGTCCTTCAGCACCTTGAGCGTCTCGTTGCTGCTGCTGCGACTCTTCCACACGATGAGGAACACCATCAGGCCAAAGAAGCCGCCCAGCGTCGCTGCGATCCTCACGCCGGTCATCACGTCGTAGGTGGCAAAGAACTCCTCCCGGATCCTGGCCCGCTCCGCGGCATTCTCGGCATCGGTCAGATTCCGTTCGCCCGGCGGCAGCAGTGGCATGTAGGGCGTGGCCGTATTGTGGGCGGGTGCAGGTGCAGGTGCGGGTGCAGCGGTGCTCTCATTTCGTGTGGCAGTGTTGTTGTTGCTGTTGTTGTTGTTGTTGCTGTTGGTGTGCGCCGCCGGTGTCGGTGGTGGCGATGGCGCCTCCTGTAGGACATCGCCGCTGGTATCAATGAGTGCCGCCGCCTGGGGCCTGCTGCTTTGGCTGCTGGTGGCACGGCGGCTGATGCGTTGGGCCAAGCCTGTGGCATGACTAGCAGGAGGCGAATGTGTAGGAGTAGGAGCAGGAGTAGCAGCAGCTGTTGTTGCAGTGTCTGTTCCTGTGTTTGCTGTTGATGGCGTTGCTGCAGACGACGAGGCACGTCGTGAAAGTTTTGCCATCTCTATTGAAACATTTTCTGCAATCGATAAAAAGTCGATAAAAGTCGATAAGTAATCGTCGGTTAATTGAGTTCAGAATTTTAACTGTCGAACAAATATTATATAAACCTGAGAAATAGTAGAGCAGAATGAACAGAGACAAACAAACCCAACAAAATCAGGAAAATGTGCGTGTGAGCATGTCGTAATTTACACTCAAAGACAAAATGGCCTAGAAAGCTAACAAGTACATGGAGCATTTACATCCGCTTCGTTTATTATACGACAAAGGATTGGACTATATATAAATATACTGCTTTTAAATTGATTAGCTACTCCTGAAAGTTCTGGCCATCCAATTCTGACGTCCTTAGCTGTCCAATGAAATTAAAGTTTCCTCGCGCTCGTTAATAAAAGTAATATTAGACGTATCCAGTTTGTTAGCTGGAAATTTATGGCAGCTACTGAAACCTATCTGTCGGAAACAGACCAGACATTGAACCCCCCTTGCTGAAAATTGGCTTCACGGGCACGAGCTTACCGCTTGAATCTCTTGATAATATTCTGTAAATTTCAGCTTTAATCTGCAACAATTAACATTAATTGGAGCACATTTTAAACGCTTCTAAGCTAGCTTAATGAATGGGCTTCACGAGACTTAAAACAAATATCCGTTTAAAGCTGCAGAGGCTAGATTCGATGCTAGGGTTTAATTATGTTTAATTTTAAATCATTAACAAGACCTAAAATGTCTCACATTACAATTACAATTAATTTCCAAACTTAAAGCCATTCATTTTAATGTATGATAAATAGAAACCCAAGCCACATAAATGCCAATAAAAGCATATTTCAACGACCTTTATGGAGTAGCCAATTTCTTCCCAATCCCCAAAACACCTTTCGCTACTCCTCCTGTTCCATGCTCTAACGATTTCCGTCCATCTTGCATCGTTCAGCTCACCATTTTTGTTTCTCGTCACGGACTCCCGCCCTTGTGCTCCTCCATGCCCAACAGCAATTAAAACGCCATAAATTCATCCACATTTCTTGGCGCATTCTTCGCCAGCGCCTCAAAGTTTTTAATTGTTTTCAGCTTTTGCTTTCTCCACCACCCCCCCTCACACACCTTTTCCCTTGGTTGCCCAGTCTCCATCTTTTTCAGCACCTTTTCATTTTTCTCCTCCTCCGCAACGTTCTATGCAGCATTCCCTTGGGGTAATAACTTGGTAAATTTTTAACATTTCGTGGAAATGAGTAAATTAAGGTACACACTCGTACATACTTATACGAATGTGCCAGGGGAGGAGAAGAGTGCTCGTGTACTGTACCCATCTCATTTTTTCTTTTTCTGCTTTCTCGCGTTCTCTTTCTCATCTCTTCACTTTTTTCTGTCATCTGAGCTTCTTTCTACCAAACATTTTTGAACTTTTGTGTTTCCCTTCGCCAGTTGTACTATTGCAAGGTTTCCACCTAAGTAAATTCGATGGATACGCTGATAGAAAAAAGGCATAGTAAAAATAACTACAATCATATTTGAATTTAAAATGCGATTTTTAAATACAAACATAGTAAAATTTAATAGAATTCACTTTGATTCAAATATAAATGTATTAAAAATGCTTTTTTAATACGGTCATATTTAATCTAAATACAAAACACTTCAAAATAACTATAATAAATTAAATTTGTAGTTTAATATGTTTCATATTTAAACTGAATATTATTATGACTTGATTTCAAAATTTGTGTTTTAAAATCCAAAGGAAAAACTTTTTATTTTAAATATTATATTTTAAATGAAATTAAATACTTTTTGTATTTATTTTAAATATGTTTATATTATTTTTTTTATGTCCCTCGAATTCCCAACTGGTTCCAGCTGCTGCCGCCTTTAATGCACAGAAAATTATCTTTGCGCAGGGGCATAATCACAACCAATGCAGTCCTACTCGTGTTGCGATTATTTCTAGTTAAAAACTTTAACCAATTCACACCATGTGGACTTGAAATGTAATTTGCGTACGCAAAATAATAACCAATTAGTTAAAAATGAATATGAATATGAAACATATTAAATTTGAATATTAAACATATTAAATTTAAATATGAAGCATATTAACATTAAATATGAAATATATTAATATCAAAATTAATTGAAAAATATTCAATTTTAATACAACTCTTGGATGAAAATCAATGGCATAAATATTAAAATCAAAGTGAAAATATTAAAATTTCAGTGCTTTTTTCTATCGGTGTATTTCATTAGGTTAAAATCCTTTGAAGAATAAATAAATATATTCTTGGTGTTGTATTTCGAAGAAACATCGGTGTATAAGGCACATAATATAATGCAGCAGCATTTCCCCTGGCTATCCTTGGATTTTCAACAAGTTGCACGCTCAATAATTCAGAAGGACTTTGTATTCACAGTCACAGCCTGTTGCCGTTGCATGCACACACTCGCACATACCTTGCCTCATTGTCCATTGTCATTGGCAGCTAGTTGGCCAGGACTCCCACCTCCCCCACTGTCATTTGTGCCCCCCCTCTATATAATTGTTCTTTTTGTATTGAAAGTCGCGCAATTGTGGAGCTTCGCTCTGCTGAATTCTGCCATCCCAGTTGTTCTTTTCTTCCACAGCATTCTATTCCATCCATCTGTCGCTCGTTCTCGTTGCCCATTTTTTTGTTTGTTTTTATGTTTTACATAGTTTTGCATTTGAAGCATGTTCGGGCAATGCTTTGTCCTGCACAAGGACATCATGGCCAGTCGGGCAGAGCCAAAATGATTATTGCAAAAGTTTTTGGTCGAACACTCGTATTCCACCTCAAGCTTCCTACCTTGGCTCATTCCACCTTTCCATCTCTTATTTCATTTACTTTCTTTTACTATTTCTCTCTCTCTCTCCCCCGTTTTCTTTTCTATTCCCCCCCGTTTTCTTTTCTCCCTCCCTCTGTTTTTTCTTTTACTATCCCTCTCCCTCTGTTTTCTTCTGCTATCTCTCTCCCTCTTTTTTTCTTTTACTACTTCTCTCCCTCTGTTTTATTTTACTATCTCCATCTCTGGCTCTGTTCATCGTTGTCTGGCTAACAAAAGAAAAAAAAAACTTTTAATGGCTACTATACATTGGCCATAATTTGTGTCCAACTTCCCGTGCACATAATGAGAGAAAAAAATGTAAAAAAAAATAAAATTGCAGTCTAAGCAGTTTGAAGTGATTTTTAATGGTCTCACAGTTGCCGGATACTTTTACCTGGCAATTATTCCTCGTTATTTGAGTTCTCCTAATGGCAGCGAATTTCTGTCTGGTCTACTTTTGTGCTGCCAAATTATTGATGTGAAATGTTTCAGAAAATGGAATTATTCGAGATTTATTCAAGCAATTGATTGGATTTTATGTCTGTGAATTTTTAAGGCCATCACATGAACTAAAACATCAAATAAATGTGCATTGTTCAATAGTTTTTGTAGTTTTACTTTCAAGTTCTTTCACATATTCAATTTATATCCAATCCAACAGCAACGGAATGGAATTACACTCAAAAATTGGCAAAATGAACAAGTGAAAAAGAAAGGCTGCAAAAGCTTTTCATTCGCAAGGGAACAAAGTTATTGAATACTTCTAATAAGTTGCAGCTTCCGTTGAGCATTCACTGGCCTTCCACATACATATGGACGTGTATGTACGTGTATGTGCATGCCCCAAATAAAAGAGAGGAAAAAAAAGACAAAGTGTTGAGGCTACAGTTGAGTTGTATTGATGGATTAGCACATTTGGGGATTGGGTCTTAGCCAGGCACCCAACTGAACGGATAATTGCCTGCGGGTCTGTGCTTTCGGTATACGAGTATGTGCCCAAAAAAAAAAAGGGCAAGCAATATACATACATACACATAGAGTACATTAACAATGTCCGCTCGATGAATGTGTATCGATGTCGGAACAGGGGAGGACATCTAACCGTACCCGTACCCGTACCCGAACTGTGTGGCTAAAATGAGCGGAAAATGGGTAACCAAACTAACCAGACACCAACAATGGGGCACAATGTGTTGCTTGTTGCTCGTTGCTCGTGGCTCGTGGCGCGTTTCTCTGTTGCAGCAATGATGAATGATGGTGGTTAGGCAACGTACAAGCGGACAAACGTACAAACATGCTGACAGGCGGCCTCGACTTGGACTTGGAATACACATGAAGGTACACAGTGCGTATGCGTAATATGTATGAGATATGGATGGATGGATGGATGGATGGATGGGTTGGACGGAGAGTATAATAATTCATCATGCCCACGGCATATCTGCCCTACATACATACATCCTCGTTCTAGTACAACAATCTGGGCATTTTGTTGTTGCTGTCATATTTTTGTGCCTTGCCAAACTTTGGAAAAATGAAATTGACGGCAAATCAATTGAGATTGTACGAGTATATAAATAAATACATGCATGTACGTGGTATGTGCGCACTTGTTATATATAGATTATTATATTTATATATAGCGCTTGCTCAATGTCTTTTGTGTGTTGCACATTTTGCCCGCACTCCTCCACCCACATAAAATTGAGTTTTGCTTTGAGCTGCGGCTCTTTCCTCGCTGCCACAGCCGCAACAAAGGAAACCATTCGTGTGGATTGAGGCGTACGGAAATAAGTACACAGCACAGCTGTTGATTTGTATAGAAACAGGGGCACATGAAAATCAATTTGTATTGCAAGTTTTTGGCCAATGAAACTTTGTGTTTAATGGGATGAATGTTAACGCGAATACAGCCCAAGGTATGCCCTGGGGGCTTGCAAAAATAATTTTGTAATCGCTTTTGCAGGGAAATATCAAAGTAATGTCATAACTTAAATTCCCTATTCAACTGGACAGCATTGTCATCTCTCAGACACACACACAGAAACCACCTCCTAAGCATCTCAAGCCTGACACAAAATATGTACAGAAAGTGACACAGACACAAGGACATAACCACCGCATAAGCGGCTTATAGAAGCATTAGCCAAATGAAAATATTTCAACAGCAAA